ACAACTGCGTCACCAAGTCCCGTATCTTAACTAATATCATGGCTCACATCGGCTTATAAAAGGACTGCAGACAGCTCCCATAAAGCCCTTTGTTCTAACGCAGACCCGGTGTCGTGCCAGTTACAGCTAGAAAACATGTTTACGTGACGTGAGGACGTTATTCTGGTGGAATAAAGCCCTAAACCGCTTGAATATTTTGATCCAACTCGTGACCTATGAATGCGATTACCATACGTTTATGTGTACTGTCCGACTTTGGGTCAACTGCACTCTCTCCATGTCGTGCGATATTTATCTAACGTTGGGTCTTGTCATACATTATTTACATCTTGAATTGTATGTAGCGCATATTTATCAGAATCACAATAGTGTCCTTGTTGTAGTACCCATAGTCAAATGTGAGATCATTTTTTATAGATTTTGTGACAAATTGCAATTCATTCTTGTCACCATTTTCAAGAAGAGGGCGTTTATATCTGTTTTTGTACTTAGCTAAGTAATACAAGGAGATATTGGTGTGGTCAAGAACCTAACTGGTATTTACAATAAAACTAGTCTAGAAAACTCATGATGTAATGAATTCATAATCATAACACAGCCGTTCGCTTTGTAGGTACCTAATAGTTTATTAAAACTATGACTAACGTTATGAAGCGTACAAAATTACAGTGGCGACTAATATTATTAAATTAATGTGTTGGTTAAAATACTTCCAGTCCTGACAAGTTGCGTGCTAGACGTATACGTAGTTATAATAATATGGCTCACACTGGACACATAATGCGGTTTATTTCGAGAAAATGTATTAATATAGCTGCATAGGACGACACATTAAAGGTTAACACCTAGGCTGGGTTGCACCATCTTACTTTAACTTTGACAAACGTCAAAAATCTGTCAAACTGCATACAAAACAAAACACACCAGTTATCGTCATAATTACGGTCAAAGTTAGGTGGTGCAACTCAACCTTAGTTGTTATAAGTGCGAATTTACCACAAAAATGACTAGTCTGGTCATAATGGAAGCTTATTGCGTAGTTAGTAGTTACGTTTTGCGTTTTAATTTTTAGATCAAAACAGCTCTATTCTCTACCGCTGTAGTGACAATAGAGGCAGCGTCAAAGGATAGTCTCTGAATGATGTGAAACAGACCGTTTTTCACAAATAATGTTCTTTTGTAAAATTGTAAACAAAAAAGAGTGAAATGAAAACCAAAACAAAGACGACTCAAATGTTTATGATCACAATAATGAGTCATATTACTTTGTAACAAAACAGTAAAATTATTATTTTATTAAGTTAACGAAAACAAATACGCAAACTTAAATGCAATCATTATCGTAAATCTGTTGTATGCTACAAGTATTTATGACATAAGTAGTTATGTACTACAGTAACTCTAATTACCTACCTGATACTGCATAATTTGTGAGTGACATACGGGAAATTACACAAATTACATGAAATACATTCGCGCGTATGTCAAACATAAGTCTAAACCTGACAAGTGGTACCGAAAAAAGTGCGTATCTTATTCACACACGGCATGTGTCGTAAACATCGTTAATAATAATCCAACATTCGGAATCGATATCGCATACCTAATGATTCAGAACGGAGCGGTCACCGGGTGGGACGGATTCAAATTTGAAGTAACGGCCGGCTGTCTGGCGGACTCGGAAAGGGCAGGTTAAATTAAAAGGGCTATGCTTAACTCGCCTGATAAGGTTCTCGATTCGAAGAGAAAGATCGGTGAGTCTCCTAATGACTCAAAGGGCTACACTTAACCACTATGCAGGCGAACAATCGACTGTTCATTGGATAGGAATTGCTTGTCTTGAGATATTTTATCAAACCAACATCAATCTTCTAACTGTAGCAAACATTAGATTATCCGGATAATAAGTACCTACTAAACTAAAAAGATAGTAGCTATTCACGACAGTCCAAAATGAAGTTTGCAAATTGCATTATAAATGAATGAACTAATTTGGAATTAAACTAAAACAAAGTAATAGATAATCAACAAACCTAATGCATAAAATTAAATAATTATAGCAAAATATGCGGTAAATGATCTCCGAAGGATCAGCCGCATGCAAAGGTTCCGCCTTCCGTTTTTAGGCAAAACGGGTGCGCTGGCGCAAGGTTGAGCGCTGGGAGAACAAAGGAAAGCGATGGAAGGAATGGAACTATCGGACGAACCAAGGATGACGTTGGGTTCTTTTTATTGTAGAGCTCTCGCATCCACTTGGAATGCTATTCGAAAGCACAATGCAGATTTCGAAATATTTGCGCATGCGCGGATTTCGATCCGTCTTTCAGTTAAAAAGATGATTAGCATTATTAATATTATTATCCGAGTTTTAAATTGACAAAACGTATAATAGATTATTGTGTAATACTGGTAGATTTGATGTTATAGTGCGTGTTCGATATTACGAAAAGCATTACAAAACTGGTATTAAATTAATTCGTTTTTGAATAACTTATAATCTATGATTGCGAATTCTGTCGTCAAGTCCCTACAAGGAAACTTGGACCTTGAAGAACCTTGGACGAACAAAAAGGTGACTCAAAACATCAGCAGTTTTTGCCGTAGATCCTCTCAGTATCGTGACTCTAATATTAAACTTCATTAGGTTAGAACAACCAGTTCAAATCACAAGGAAAATGTTACTATGAGATTAACAGTAATAGTTTTGTTATACTGACCTAGGAACAGGAAAACAGGTGCTCATTATCTCCTTTGAAGTCCGCTAACGAAGTCTTCTCATGCATTACAATAAATTAGCATTTGTTTATAAACAATTTATGTTTGTAGGTAACTGACGTATTCTAATAAAGGTGAGGGGTTGAATTATTAATGTCCTTGTTACAGAGACCACGAACACAGATACTGTTGACTTTTGTTTTCTTTATAAAAAATCGTTTATTTACGTAAGAAACAGCTTGTTGTTGGGCTGCACTTACCACTACTTAAGTAGGTGTGTGATAAGATCAATAATCAAGAGCTGGATACGTATCCTGTCCTAATGATGTAATAAGTACCTACTTTGACTAGTGAAAGTACCCTTACTCTGTTTGTATACCTACCTTAAAGTGGTTTGTTGTGGCTGGTCACTAGCCTGGCTGGCGTAGCCCTTTGGACTTTTTAACCCGATCCAGATCACCAATATGCTGTTAAACGCCCTTATTTTCCTGTGTACCCTTGGCTGTTCCCTTGATGGTACAGTGGAAAATAAATTTTAACCGCTGTACCCTTGGCCGTAAAACCCAACCAACTTAAATTGTACACGTGACCAAGAGGACTAGCTTTTCTTGAATTTGGCCAAAAAACAAAAACAAATGAACATCGATAAAAACAAATGAAGTAACATGGATGTAGATAAAAGTAAAACCTAAAATTATAATTAATTAAGTACATAGAATAAAGACAATATTACGCCATTTTCCTGTACCACTTCTGAAATGTCACAATTGTAGTACTGTCGACCGTCATGTAATAAAACAATACCGCCATTCCTCTCAATAAAACAAGGTAATATCATCGTCAATGCAATTAGCTTCCATGATAAAATTTACAAAAATATTGTAAAATCAGTTATGAAATAACATTCACAGGGACAATTACGCAGAAGAATAATATCAAGATATTATCATATTTCTTTTTCAGAATAATAAAATTAGCCAAGTGCGTGTCGTGCCACGTGCAATGTAGGGTTCCGTAGTTGCCCGTCGTTAACACAATATATTTCAGAAAAACCAAGCAATTACTTCATCTAAAGTCACTTTTAATATTTTCTTCTAAGGAATTTTCACTAGTTAAGAAATTTTATGAGTTAAATGACTATTACTCTAAAAAGAAACGGTAACATTAAAGAGGTTCGGTTCAATATCAATCCTAAAATAGGTACAGGATTACACTTAAAATGGAAAACTATAGTCTCAATCTCATTAAACATAGGTAAATATTAAATCTCATTAAACATGGGCAACTAAAAAGTATCATCTAACTCCTAACTTACAAAGTTTGACCTTTCATCATCAGCTCACCTAAAAAACCTGAAGGTATACAACTGTATGTACATACGTACCTAAGATATTTAAAGAATTATTCTCCAACTCCTAACCGTTAAGGAGTTTTACCTTCCATCATCACCTCATCAACATTAGATGATGACTACCAGATGCATATACTTGAATATCTTTAGAATAAATATGAAAAACGATATAGGGTAAACCGTATAGCTATTGCCCACTTAAAGATTTCAAACACATTGAGATGAAAAATTAAAGAAAGTATTTTAATTATCGACCATTTATGACTTTTTTCTTATAACTCANCTACGTGCCTATAAAATTTAAGGGTTGCCGGGTGGTCGATTTCCCTAGGATCCCATCATCAGATCCTGACTTGGTGACAATGGGACCAACCTAGAAGTGTACCCTATCGAACAAAAAAAAGGAATTTTCAAAATCGGTCCACAATTGACGGCGTAATCGGTGAACATAAAAAACATTACATACAGCCGAACATAGTATAACCTCCTCCTTTTTTGAAGTCAGTTAAAAATGGCGTAATTGTCTTTACTCTATGTACTAAATTAATTATAATGTACTTAATTAATTATAATTTTAGGTTTTACTTTTATCTACATCCATGTTACTTCATTTGTTTTTATCGATGTTCATTTGTTTTTGTTTTTTGGCCAAATTCAAGAAAAGCTAGTCCTCTTGGTCACGTGTACAATTTAAGTTGGTTGGGTTTTACGGCCAAGGGTACAGCGGTTAAAGTTTATTTTCCACTGTACCATCAAGGGAACAGCCAAGGGTACACAGGAAAATAAGGGGTTAAACGTGCTTTATTTTTTCGGTACATTCTTCTAGGTCACATGCTGAGCCCAACCTACCTATAACCCCAATTGAATTCCAACCCTACATTAAACTTATTTAAGAACAAAACAGAATAACATGCCCTGACCTGTCATATTCCAGGGTTGGCCGCTATGGGAGCGCGGCGAAGCGACGGAGCACGAGCGAAGGTTGCTCCTGGTGGCGCGGCTACCGCACGTCCGCACGCTTAACGGGGGCGGCGCGGTGCCGGTGGAGGAACGCGACGCGGCCGAGCGGGCCTTCATCAGATACTACATGGAGAAGCCTGAGGCTGACCGCCCGGATAGGTGAGGCTATTGCAAACCGATTAGGGAGCGTCCATTAATTATGTGAGACAATTTTGGCAATTTTTCAACCCCCCCCGCCCTTCTTGGTGAGATTTGGTGAGATTTTTCCAAACCCCCTCCCCCTCCCCACAATCTGACGTGAGATTTCTTAAAATACATGTTTGCAATGTAGGTAAATGGTTCGATTATGATTAAATATTAAAAAAAAACTCTTTCTTCTAATTTCTTTATTGTTTAAGTAGACGGTTTAGAATTAAAAAATTGATTATCATTATCATCTTAAAAATATTTATTTTTTTATTTAAAATAACCCAGTTTTTTCGCAATTTGACCCTTAAATTACAAATAACGTGATATTTGTCATGACCCCCCCTCTCCCCTACGTGAGATTTAGTGAGGTTTTTCTTGACCCCCTCTCCCCCCTAAACGTCTCACGTAATTAATGGACGCCCCCTTATGTCCAGAAGTCCCCTCTAGCACTGAGCTCTGGGGAGTAGGGAGGAAAAATTCCGTTGTCAGTGTTATGCGACAAAAACTTAGCTACTTGCATATTCCCAAATATTCCTTTCCGATTCGTGCCTTTTTTCGGATGGCAGTTCTGTGTTAAAAGTTAACAATATTCCTAGATAAGGTTGGCATAGATTTACCTAGGGCAGACGCAGGGTACGCCCGTGGGTGTCTGAGTTAAATCTAGCAAAGGTTGGCATGGTTGATGACTATTAAATAACATTGTGAACTGCAAACTGTATTCACTTCAATGCAAATATTGACATTTGACAACCTGTCTGTTTATCACTGGAAGTATTTCAAGCATAAGAATTCCAATTCCGATTTGAAAAGAGTACTTAATACGATTCCTTAATAAGATGGAAGATTGTTTGTTTACGAATTGGAATTCGAAAATACGTCTCCAGTTCGTAATTTCAATGACAAGCCAAGAACTGCATATGGCAGAATATCTGATGCATTCCACTGAAGGTCCGTGTAATGATCGTGGGCGACAATTCTCACTCCGAGGCGACCTAAATGACTAAAGCTGTATGCTAATGATGAATCCTAAGTGGCTAACTGTTTGTTATAGCTGCTTTCCGTGGGCGGCTACCTTTTAATTCTGTCCTCGTGTCACAATATTTATAACGAGAAAACAATATTTTGGATTGTATGGTAACGAGTTTCAATGAAAAGTCCTTACACAACCTGTAGAAGTAATGAAAAGGTAGTTCACACGAAGACTTAGAGATAGCTAGGAGGATAGCTATTAACACCTGGGATTATATATGACATTGTACTTAAAACTTTTTTGTCGCCGTGGGCGTGGCAGTATTATCCGTGATAGTAGGTACCTACAAGTAAATCTGTTTTTTTTTACACCTTTTTCTAGAGAAAAAGAGACTTAACGCCCGTATTCATAAACATTACTATGAGGTCTCACAGTGCGCGTGGACGCACAGGGTGTCACATGAACCAATCACAGAGATCTATTCAACGCTGTGCGTTCGATTTGCTGCTTCACTTAAACAAGCATCGTTTGTGAATACGGGTGATACTGTCACGGTGACAAAAGTCACCGTGCCGTTAGGCGTGCAAGAAAAATCTTGCTCCGCTCCCATCTCTGATGATCTCTGCATTATATTTAGTAGTACCTAAAACGGCAGTATTTCAAGGTTGATGTTACAAACACTCCAGGTACTGGGAGCTGGTGTCGGTGCACGGCAAGCTGGACCCGCTGGTGTCGGTGGACCTGCGGCCCGAGAAGCGTGTGCAGATCACCTTTACCTGCGGCACCACGAGCGAGGTGCGCACCGTCGACGTATACAGGTATAGTTCCAAAATACTGGACTGTCCTATCGATGACATTGACAGTGGAGCGCCACCGTCAATACCGGATCGCTGGTTCCGATTTTTGCCATGTTGGAAACCATATAGTTGAACGATGGTAGCGCCCCCCTGTCATTGAGTTTGGTGGGACAGTTCAGCGTGGGTCATCTATAAGGCCCGCCGGTTTCCATTACAAAGTGGAGACGAGTGTCAGTGTTTATTTGTAAAGTTCGTAAACTTGCTAATAGATGGCGCTGTGCTGACTTAGCTCACGCAGTGTCCTCTATATGGGCAAATTGTAATATAAATTATGATATTGAATGATTATCTTGGGAACCAAATACCGTTTTTGCTACGATGGCTTTAATTTGAGCAAGGAAACTTAGCATTCTTTACGCTCAACTTCGGAAATCGCACATCTCTCGTCTCCACCTTGGTGGAAATCAGACATTAGTGTTTCGGTTTGCCATGTGAATAAAAATAACTAAGACGTGGACGTGGATGGTGGAGTATGCTGTATGGCCAGTCGGCCACTTAGCCACTCAATCCATGAACAGAATGAATCATTACACAGTTGTCATAGAATCTATGCCATAAAGATGCCTTTGACAAAGTGTCATTATTATTGATTGATCAGTTGTGTGTGCGTTTATATTGCTGAATGAAACTCAACGTAATTTTCATTTCATTTTCAGAACCGTTTCAGACTTGAAATCCAAACTAGAGCAGCTAGCCGGTTTCCCCGCATCCAAAATGAGATTATTCTATGTCGATCAAGAACTCCGGGATGGAGAGGTGAGTATTGTATCGCAAAAAGTTGTAACTTTCGCAGTCCACACAAAATGGTAATAAACCTCTATGTTCATTATAAAGAGATTTAACAATTATCCTTCTTTTCCTAGCTATTCCCTGGTCCTGAGGAGATGAAGTTCCCAACGAAGCAGCTATACTCTTACAACATTCGGTCCGGAGACGAGATCATAATCGAGTCGAAGCTCGCGCACTCCATATCAGTGAACTCGACTGGGTGAGACGTGATGCCGGCCTCTATTGGTTAAGCGAAGCTTACCGGCCCTACTAAAATTGTCCTTTTCGTGCTGTGAGGGCTTATAAACACAGCATATCTTTTAAATCTTTACAAAATCTTCATATTGTTCACAAGAACTGATGCGAGTGATCCTGGACAAATCTTATGCATGTTTTTTTTGTTTTGTTACGGCATAGGTAAGCTACGTTTATCCATAGAACGAGGCCTTAGTCGGTGCCACGCCGTTATGTTGGTTGCATTTCATGTAATTTTGACTGATGTTCTGATGTTTTTTTATATTGTGATTGTGACCGGAATTTTAATGATTTGCTTTTCTATTCAATGTGTGCGTCGGAAAATTAATATTAAGAATTTAATAACGTTCTTCACGACGAAATGCAACTAACCTTACAGAAATAGTGTATTTTTGACTTTTAAAAATCAGCCTAAAGCCATTTGAAAGAATATGCTAGCGAGTTTAGAGTTTTCCAGTACTCCAGTGTATGTCATTTTATGTAGGTACTAACAAAATGTTGAATGGGACTATTTTAGTTATTTTTATTCATCATCTTAATTTTTTGTTTCATGTAAACTGTCATTTAACCATTTTATCGTAATCACAAGTATTAGCGCTCTCACTATGTGAATCTAACGGTTGTCACAAGTATAGTAGATTTAAGTTTTTGCCACGAGCTATAAGCTTGTCTATAAAAGATTATTTTTTTATTTCTTCTATTGTTCCAAGAAATCAATAAAATTCTGATTGGAATCTTATGACTTAAATTAAGCATTTCTGTCTTAAATTATCGAAAATGACTATGGTTTATAAATCAATCGGATTTTTCTATTTTTTTTTATTTTTGCAATAAGCAACTGTGATAATAAATTATAAATGATGGCTAAATCTAAAATTTATTACCGTCTTTGTAAAAATGCATCACATAATATTTTGTGTATGCTACATCCAGGTACATACATACGTAGATATTCGGCTAGGTGTTGTAAATTGCTTGATAACACAACATAAAGTGATACTAACTGCCATTTTGCGAAAGTATACCACGTGTCTTTAAGATCAAGGTTTTAAATTGAATATGATAATTTGGTAGTTATAATATAGGTAAAAATTGTCAATAAAACTAATGAAGGCTGTTTCAAATTGTTTTACAGTGCTAAATGTAACTGCTGAAATCTATAGCTGCCAAATATGGTATCAAAATCATGAAGTCTGTATCAAAATTCATTACAGTACATTACTACGACAGCAGTTACAAGCAAATCATTGCATGACACTATATTATAACGCACAGTGTTTTATTTTGGCTTAGAAGCGGACATCCCTGTTTTATTAATTCAATCGTTAGATATTACTATTATGTATACAATTGATGAAGGAACTAGTAGTTGTATTTGTTTAGTTTCGAAGAAATATTGGATTTTGGGATTTTATAAAAAAAACAGTTTTAGAAGCATATTTTCTAAAAAAATTACATTAAGTCAGAATTTTGTAAATACATTTACCTATCACTATAACGTCTACCTTTATGCAAAAATAAATGGTTATTGCTGCAGTAATTTAGGAATTATTTAATAATTTATGATTTTCAGAAAACATTTTTTTCTCCGTTGTCCTAGAAAAATGGCAGCTATATTTACTTTATATNGCTTGAATTAATAAAACAGGGATGTCCGCTTCTAAGGCAAAATAAAAGACTGTGTAACGTAAATTGTTTTTTGTTTTAGTCTTAGAAAATAAATCAAAACAAGAAATAAATGATATGTATGAAAACTTGTGTATTAATTTATAAAAAGCTTCTTTCCATACACACCTATCATTGTGTTCTGCACTTGTTCCAAGATCTCGTTGAACACCTCTAGCCATTGGTCACAGTTCATTTCCTTTGTTCTTCTTTTGAGAAAGTTTACGAGAATGTTTAGTTTGTCTATGTTTCGGGATACGACCATAGTGCACATGTATTCAGAGATCATGGTAACATCACAGGGCAAAGGCGTCTGTCCGCTGTCCAGCCAGGCGCGTAATAACTCGCGAACCTTATCCCAAGGTAGACCAAGCAATCCCTTAGGTTCCTCCTCCTTTACTATAACTTTACTGCAGCTATTTTCTTGGCCTATAACTTTGTCATCATCTCTTTTTGTCATAGGATCTTTCAAAGCCACATCTCTAGTTTTATGTTCTTTAATCATAGGGTTTTTATATGGTGTGTCTCTTAAAACACTTTGCCCTTGAAGAAATTTATTCATTAAGTTTCTAGAAGTGCTTTTATTAGGTTTAGAATTTTTTGGAGGCCTACCTCTTCGTTTTGTAGATGGTGATTTGAGTAGTGCTATTACAGGTGATTTCTGTTTAGGAGGTGAAGACATTTTTATCTTTTGTGGAGATACAGAGAGATCTGGTTTTACAGAAACTTTATGTTCCAGTAAGATGTTTTCTCCTGGCATATTACCAATGTTATCAGCTTTTGTCTCCAATTTGATTGGCTTTGTTGATGATAAGAATTTACTAATAGCGCCTTTTGTTGGTTTGACATTACTACTTTCAAGTTTTGTGATTTGTATTCCAATGCCTCTCATTTCCCTTGGATCTATATTTTGTTTCTTGCAAAGTGCTATTACTTCCTTTGTTATAACTTCAACATCATTTGTAGCATTATTTAGGGCAGTAGATTTATTCACAACATTACAGAATCCATGACCCATAAATTTTGCAGTTTCTACAGGAGCATTCTCAGCTCTAACCATTAGTTTCAATGTTATACATTTACCTAAGACCTTGAATTGTGTCATTCTGGAATGCACTTCAGTTGATAATTGCTTCAGAAATTCAATACACTGGTCATTATTTTCAAAACGGATTCCATAATTGACTTCAGCTGATACAGATTTTCTGACTGTATGAAATGATAATGGGTTTAAATCTCGCCCACGACATTGATCAAAGAGTTGGGCACCAGTTTTGTTGCCCAGATGATGCTGCAAGGTTGCCAAAGACAGACTTTGTAGTGATCCACAGGTGCTGTGCCCAAGATGTTCTAATTTATGAGCAGTCTGTCTGCCTACTCCAGGAAGGTCTTTCAATTTGATTTCAATCATAAAGTCTTCAACTAAGTCTGCAGTTAAAAAGAACTGACCATCTGGTTTGGCTTTTTTAGTAGCCAATCTGGCCTGTAAGCGATTTCCTCCAAATCCTGTAGAACATGGGCATCCAGTTTTTTCTTTTATTTCAGATCTTAAAACAGTTGCAAAGTCTTGCACACTTATGTTCATATCTTTTAGTAGTTCAGTGCAATCAACATACATTTCATCACATGAAACTGCTTCTATATCTAGTGTGTATTGAGCAACTGTATTGTAAAGTGTATAAGCTACTTCTTTGTACCCATCAAAATCATAAGGTATTGTTTGTATATTAGGACATAACTTTAATGCAGCCCCCATAAACATCCCATTGCTGATTCCTTTTTCCCTAGCTTCATATGAGCAAGATGCTATTTCACTCATAGATCCATATTTGTCATCTTCATCTGTAATGTTATCAACTCTGCTTTCAAATTCAATTTCTTCTTCAGGGACTCCGTTTACTTTACTCAACTTGCTTGCTTGTTTTTTTCGATACAAGTTAAATTCAGTGTTTCTGTCGACTCCTGCTCTCTTGGGTCTGGCCTGGCCTCCCTTGGAATGTGTGACAGCTACAGGTTTGCCACGTAACTCTGGTCTATTACGAAGTCCTACGGACACAAAGAAACAATCCATGTCTATATGCATAATAGTTTTACCCTTTTCGAAATTTAATGGAGATGAATCAGCAGGATTGTCTAACAAGCATACTCTATCTCTTAGAGCAGTCCGAGCTGGGAATTTAAAATTGCTGTTCTCCCGCAGGTCATTAACGTGTTGTTTGAAACAAGCTCCCAATTGAGAGATATGGTGTAGTCTAGAATTGTTATAAAATTCAGATATAAAATTAGGATCTGCTGCTGTTTTAGTTGAAGTGTCATTTTTCTTAAAATCACAGACTGGATTACTTGGATCATTACTTACATTGGAGGTAACATTTGTAGGAATATGTTTGGTTTCATTACACATTACATCTAAATTGTTCACAGCAGCCACTGGTTTAACAGGTTCTTCCTCATCTTTAAATATTAAATTACTATTAGGGACAGTGCTCTCCTCTAAAAGAACATTTTCAACTTTGGAAACTTCATGTTTTACATTTTTATGAAAGTTCAATTGTGGTTGTGTCCTTGAATTTCTGTAAAGCAAGTAGTTTTTGTAGTCCTGAAGTTGATTTGCTGCTATACTATCTGTAATCCATTCTGGTTTTATTACTCTGGATAGCGACATGTTCTTCACTTTAGTGTCGGGCAAGTTTGAAGCTATTATGAAGTCTTCAGCTCTCTGGTATGTGTGATACACGCCTCCGTGTAAAGCCATCAGCTCTTTTAGTTCTTCAGCTGAAGGTATCGTAAATCCATTAACATAAATGCTGACTCTGTTAGGANCACAAGTTCTGATAGACTCCACCAAATATATTTGTTAATTTATCATTTTTGCAAGCTTGTACACTAAACTGTTCCTCCAATTTCGAAATTTTTGCCTGCATATATCCACCCCAAGCTTCAAAACCATTATCAGGAAAGTTTTCATCTCTTCGCCTCATCTCAATTTTATTGTTCTAGTTTAAATTCTGAATTGTTTGCTAACTGCAGAAATTCAAAGAATTATTATTTTTGTCAACAACAATGACAACAATCACCCCGCGGCAAATTAAATGCCAAAGTCAAAATCAAAACAGACAGAAAAAAAAAACTTAGAAACCACAGATTAATTAGTAGGGTCTGGAACGCTGACGTTATTCGATAACAGTCATCGTAGTCGTGCATATAACCGTTCCATTATGGCCATTCACTGTAGAACCATGAAAAGGTTGGGCAAGTAAAATAAAAAAAAAGTAAAATTGTTTATGGTTTTTTTGTCAGGCAGCTCAAATGTCAAATGAATTGAATTTGTAGACATACTCTCTAATCTGTGTGAATTTGAAAACAAATCTTCGTTAGTGCGATTTTTACAATATAATCATAAAATTAAACATTTCAATGTCGAATATCGAGGAAGAACTAATCATAGCACCATGGGTTGGACCCGGCAGTTGCCGAAAATTGTTAACCATCATCATTTTATCATCAAACGTAGAAATCATTGAAAGAATAGAAGAAGCGCTTTCTGAGATTCATTCGAAAGGAAATTTCAGGTGGAAACTTTTAATTTTGCGCTCATTCCATCTCGAAGAAGTTGTCAGACAGTCTGATTTGACAGGAAAAATTGCTATAGATTTTGTTGTAATAGCAATGGACACAAGTAGTTTGTTCTGTTTAGAATGGACCAAAAAAGTTCTAAGCCAGGTTCATCCAGATCTCCTAGCTCGCCGTGTTGTATTAGTGAATGCAAGTGGATTACCAATTAACAGTATGGCGACAAATGCCGGTGATCTCCTCAGCTTTCAAGCAGACTCCAAGATTGACCTGATGACTGCCAATGTGTACAAACCAGAAGAAGCCAGATTCTTGGCTAGAAAACTACTAAAATATGTTGAAGTCTCAATAGGAATCAAAACTGGAATACCTAATTTAAATATATGATTTATGGTACTGTGTGTTTCCTTCCCTAATACCTAATATCCTACCCATCCTAGCTAAATAAATCGAGATGACCTATTTTACTGCTGCCCATTATTCAATTTCATTTAAAAAATAAAGGTTATTAATCCGACCCTGGGTGCCCCTGTAGTTTGGGTTCTCCGTAGGTTGTTACACTCCTGTTGCTCAACAATCAACACAAGTAAAATTTCTTCTGTTGTGTACTTTTTAATGTTTTGGCACCACTGGTGAGTGGCAGGACCTGAGCCATTCTGGTGAGTGCACTAAGATAGTCCTCATTCATTCTCATTAGTATTCTTCTACAGAGCTATCAAAAGAAGGTACAATTTTAGGAGTATAATTTTTTGCAAAAAATGTTCTTCCACTAGTGGCCCTAAGTATGGAAATAAAACTTGATATTTACACATTTCCAAATTATTTATTATACTTTGATTGTACTACAAAATAATAGGAAGATTTCTACAGTTATTACATTATATATTACATACATAAATAAGAAACAATTACAGCGGTTCTCGCTGGTGTGCAGCGACCTCAAAATTAAGTAGCAATTTCTATTGAAAAAAAAAACAATACCTACCTGTGAATATGCTCATGTAAAAACGAACTTATAAACTAACTGAAATACTGCTCATTTGTAAACATAGGTATATGTATTATAACTATAAATAACATTATCTTAGCATAAAATCTATGAAATCAGTAAAAAGAACATCATAAAAACAAACAGAATTTCTCTTTTAGAAAACGAAATCCTTCAGCTATAGAAATGCATTTCCGTCTGTCGCGCGCTGGTTGGTAATTATCTAAAATAGAGCTACAGATTGCTGGATTTAATATTAAAGTCACAACTGTGACTCAATTAAAAGTAAACGTATACAAAAATTTAAGATTAGGCAATATCACAACTAAACCACCTGTCATACCAGGCCGAATAAATAAAATGAACCATAACAGTTACAGCTGGTGTAACTCTTTGTATGAAATACAATGATCCACAACAATACACCAAAACCCCTTAGAGAAGAATTTCTTACTTATTGAAGAACATGCACAAGTGTGATCGATCATTCATACATTGAACATTTGCTTCTAACAAGACGGTGTTTGATAGTAAGTTATGGAAGAGTTAAAAAAATTATAAACAAGTCACTATTTTCTTTAATCTCTAATGAATTTATAATTACTCTGAATCAACAAAGTCAGGAAATGTAAGCCATTTTTATAATCCATGTCATTTTCAAATTTCAATCAGCTCCATGAAAATATGGAGACACATTTATTTCAGAGTGTAATCTTTCAGTTGTTTTTCAAATTTAATATATTATGTTGCGATTGAATATCAACTACACAATTAATCTACATCATATTTATGGAAAATCCATATGTCATGTTGTTTGTTAACATACCCAATATTAAAAGGTAACTATTTTAAGATATATTTTCTATCATCAATGACAAAACCTTAGTGGAAGAAAAAACATGATTTTTGCATCATACAAAAATAGAGATCACCACACGATACTAATTTATGAAATGAATTCAAAACATGACAAATAAACCAATACATTTTCTATGCAAATTGGTGTTGATGTTACTATAGTAGCACAAATACATCACTATATTGTTAATGTTATAATATATTGAGTGCGTATGATCGTGCAGTGAATATCGACATGATACTTGTGGCTCTCCATATCTTGATACCACACAAAAGTCTTCTAGCTACTGACATATAACATACCTTAATTTCTAAGTTCCTGTACTGAGAGATATATTTAAAATAATATCAAGCCGACACTCACGGCGTCCAATATTTGCGGTAGAAGAAACATCAAATGAAAATTAAAATGTGTGCTGTCTGGCACTGTTATCATACAGTGGGAAGGTTTAAAAAAAATGGCGTGTTAAAATAAATGGTCCAATCTGTTATAATCCAAAAGATGGGTTTTTAAAATGATCTGTAGAATCGTGGTGGTAGAGTAAAAAGAGACATGCATACAAAAATCGCAGGTAGCCAACTTTTTTGACTAAATGCTGTATGACCACAAATATAGGACGCTTTAGTTAAAATTTTGTCCAAATAATGCCATTACCCTACGAGTGTCAGATAATAGAATGTCTATTCAAATGTGCACAAGTGTCACATTTTAGGTTTGAGCGCGCGACTAAGAAACCTTAAAATATGACGAAACTTGTGCGATTATTACAATTAAGTCTACGCCATAGGCTTCCACTGGTCACAGAATGCATTTGAGTTATAACAAAAATCGAGATTCACTGATATGTGGACACGACAATCCTCCATACAATATTAATATTAAAAAGTTTAGTGCACTTTGATGTCATACATAGCAATAGCCGTTACGAACCTTAAAGACCGGCGTGTTGCTTATTGCATGTCATAGAAACATAGAAATTCATAAATGGAATAAAATATAAGATTTGAACATTGCATTTGTCCCCGAACGTTTCAAAATAACAGTCAAAATATATTGAGATTCATGATATGTGGGTGTTGGAAAGCCTCTAGGCGGTCGTCGGGCTGCGGCCCCCTCGCCCCATCTTCATGAAGCACCTATTATATCTTTACTGTACACATCTGTTCACTATACACTGTCATGGAACCTGCAACAGAAAAGTTTTATGTAAACCAAAAAGAAAGCACATAAATAGTTAGTCAAATGAGTTCCCAAACTGGTGACGTAATAATCTTCATTGCCATTAAAAAATTACAGAGTCAAAGTTTATGTCATTTGACTTCTTCTTGAATTTGTGTTTAGTCGTGTTTACAAATTGGAGGACGATTATTTAAATTCTAAACTGTTATCCCTATGGGACATTAACCCATTATAGACTAGCGGTCCCATATGGTACCACTTTTTTGTGTGTTTTAATTTGGCTCTATACATGAACACGTGAAAAGATGCAGTGCTCTGATTGATGCAAGTCGTAGCCAATAGATATGGTCTATGCTTCTAGGAATAAAAATTGTCAGTTATTCTTTTCAGTTGTGTGTAATAAATGATTGAAGTGAGCGCATCAAAATTTTCTCTTAAAAATTGACGCGCCATTCAAGTAAGTGATCGTATTTTTTTTGTGTGATAGGGAAATACTGATTTTGTTACAATCTTGTATTCTCCATAAGTGCTCTTATTGTGAAATGGTGTAAAATTACGTCGATAGGTAATAATAATTGGAAATATTGTATGTCAAACTTACTGGTACCGTACGGTACCGCTAGCCGCTTACCGTGTCTTTTTAATTATTTTATGATTTTTAGTTTTTACTGTATTTATTAGGAAGAATGTGATATATTCAATGGTATATAAGGTATACAGGAAGATAAAGTAAAATAGTTTCCTGTACTTTACAAAACCATGGGTTTTTGTTTATTTTAGATGTAACTTACGCGAAACATTGGCAGTTTTGGAGGACGATGAAGGTCCCAAGACGAAGCAGATATTTATAGAATGAACTCGAGATAATTGCAACTCTCGAACAATATTAGAGTATAGGAAATGTTACTTGGGGCTAAGTGCAGCGTGCAATGCCAAGCTCCATTCCAAATTTTTGAATATTCAAAGATAAAAATGAATATTCCTTACCCAACATACAGTTTTTTCACATTTAATATTACTTCTGTTATTTGCTTGTATATTAATACATATAATAATAATAATAAAATAAATAATTTACCCTATTTTTATAAAGTCCATGATAAAGTTATGTTTTAACCGACTGACACGGTAAGAGGCTAGCGGTACCATATGGTACCAGCATTTTTTTTCTAGATTACAGGTCGGATCATTTTTTCAATGCTTGTATAGCATTATGTAGATCATAATTATAAACATATTTCAAAAAAACAAAAATCTGACACTTTAAGAAAACTCAGTCTATAATGGGTTAACAACATCCCGGCTGACAATAACGTTCCCGCTGACGTACGGAGACGGCACACGCAGCTGTAGTGACCTATCAGCATTTAAATTGGTTATGGTTGGGCACCTTTTGGCTCCACTCACCGAGGCGACCGAGGGGCCTCGCTCATCCGGGACACTCGCCAGTGGGGCGGGGCCTCACTCGCCCGGGTTACTCACCGAGGGGGCGCGGCGTACTGAGGTACAATTACATTGGTTACGGGCGGGCATGGTACCTGTTGGACATCAGTTCCACTCACCAGTCTAGTCGGAGTCCAGATTGACCACATCCCTGCTCGCTCGTGAGCATATCTCTGCCCAAACACATTGGCTACGAGCGGGCATAGTAGTTCATAGTACCTGGTGGACGTCAGCTTCACGATGCGGGGGCGGGGCTTCGCTCGCCCGCGACACTCGTCAGGGGGGCGGGGCTTACTTACCAGTCTAGTCGGAGTCGAGATTGACCACATCCCCGCTAGCATGCGGCGGCGGAGCCCGCGGCTGTAGCGGCGGGCGGCCCCGGGCCGGCCTCGCTCGCCCGTGAGCATATCTCTGCCCAAACACATTGGCTATGAGCGTGCATAGTAGTTCATAGTACCTGGTGGACGTCAGCTTCACGATGCGGGGGCGGCCGCCTCACTCGCCCAGGTCACTCGCCGAGGGGGCGGGGCGTAGTGAGGTACAATTACATTGGTTACGGGCGGGCATGGTACTACTACTTACTATTTATGGTACCTGTTGACATCACTCACCAGTCTAGTCGGAGTCGAGGTTGACCACATTCCCGCTAGGGTGCGGCGGCGGCGCCCTTCGCTCGCCCGTGAACATAATATCTCTGCCCAAAACACATTGGCTAAGGGCGGGCATGGTACCTGTTGGACATCAGCTTCACTCACCAGTCTAGTCGGAGTCTAGATTGACCACATCCCCGCTAGCATGGGGAGGGGGCGCAGGCGGCTGTAGCGGCGGGCGGCCTCGCTCGCCCGTGAGCATCTCTCTGTCCAAACACATTGGCTACGAGCGGGCATAGTAGTTCATAGTACCTGGTGGACGTCAGCTTCACGATGCGGGGGCGGGGCTTCGCTCGCCCGCGACACTCGCCAGGGGGGCGGGGCTTACTCACCAGTCTAGTCGGAGTCCAGGTTGACCACATCCCCGCTAGCGTGCGGCGGCGGAGCCCGCGGCTGTAGCGGCGGGCGGCCCCGGGCCGGCCTCGTTCGCCCGTGAGCATCTAGGCCCAAACACATTGGCTACGAGCGGGCATAGTAGTTCATAGTACCTGGTGGACGGCAGCTTCAGGATGCGGGGGCGGGGCCTCGCTCGCCCGGGAGGAGGGGCCTAGCTCGCTCGCGACACTCGCCAGGGGGGCGGGGCTTACTCACCAGTCTAGTCGGAGTCGAGATTGACCACATCCCCGCTAGGGTGCGGCGGCGGCGCCCTTCGCTCGCCCGTGAACATAATATCTCTGCCCAAAACACATTGGCTAAGGGCGGGCATGGTACCTGTTGGACATCAGCTCCACTCACCAGTCTAGTCGGAGTCGAGGTTGACCACGTCCCCGCTAGCATGCGGCGGCGGAGCCCGCGGCTGCAGCGGCGGGCGGCCCCGAGGCCGGCCTCGCTCGCCCGTGAGCATCTAGGCCCAAACACATTGGTTACGGTTGAGCATGGCTACCTTTGTCTCCACTCACCAGTCTAGTTGGAGTAGAAGTTGACGACGTCTTCGCTTGCACAAACATTAGTTACGGGCGGGCATGGTACCTGATGGACATCAGCTTCACTCACCAGTCTAGTCGGAGTCCAGGTTGACCACGTCCCCGCTAGCGTGCGGCGGCGGAGCCCGCGGCTGCAGCGGCGGGCGGCCCCGGGGCCGGCCTCGCTCGCCCGTGAGCATCTCGCGCGCCCGCTGTTGTTGCAGCGCCATCGCCACCGGGTCGCGGCTGCCGAGCCCGCCCGCGTAGTACTTAGCGCCCATTTGCTGTGCAAGACAAAAAGGGTGTGTGAAAAAACAATTGAGAATTGGGTGCCCGGAAAGAATTGTTTACATCGCTTAACTCTTTGGCTCGTAAACTTAGCTGATGACCCAAGTCCTATGCAATCCTAAATATATGACACAAATAGTTCTTCATATCCAAACTGGCTAAAAAGTTGACAACACAACCTTATTTCAATGTAACAAAGACGTGTTGCGAACTTAATGGATACTTTAGGTGTCACGAACTGTTTGATGCTGACTATACACTCAAAGAATAGAACAGGCAATTTACCTTTACTTTAATAGCACCTCATTTTGTTGATGACAAAAAGATAATTAGATAAGCGATTTCCAACATATTGGTGGGGTCTCAGGAGGTCAAAAACCGTAGTACAGCAGGAGGCGTGGTAACACTCAAACGTTAGGCGCCAAAACACTACCAAACTCAGACAGTCCTGAAAGGTAACCGTCGTGAAGAAAGCTAATAAACACGGCAGTCCTGAATGGTAATCGCCCTAACGAAAGCTTTAAAACAGTATTAGACTAAGCCTATCACTCACGTTCTGCTGCAGCAGCTGCTGCAAGCGCTGCTGCTGCTGCTGCTGCTGCTGGCGCTGCCACGGCGGCTCGTACTGCAGCCCGCTCGAGCCGCTCATGCCGCCCGGGCCCGGCGCCGCGCCGCCGCCCGCTAACAACGAAAAATAAATTAAAACCTATTTATTTTTGCAAATTGGCTTTTAAAAAGCACTTTTACACGTCCCAGTATTAACCCTACCACTGCTTCGGTACAATAAATGGGCCAGTGCTGAGAAGAAGCAGCGCAAGAAACTCAGTCACTATTGTCAGCCTCCATTTCAAGGGTTTACAGTTTTAAAAAACACATAGTCAAGCATTGATGCGAACTAGACAGTTAAACAATAAATGTTGTAACTCCTCCCAACTACACAATATACAGTTGACAGTACATCTGACTAAAGTACGGCCAACGAGAAGCGATACCAAACGTAAACAAACCCAATGTCATGGGTGAACCCGTCTGACTTTGACATATTGTGGCGGGAGAACGAGACATTACGACAAATACACAAGATGGGAAGAGACAGAATATATTGTCAACTCGACAGTCGTATCGACCTTTTGTATCGCTGCTAGTTGGCCGTACTTTATACATTGTTGGAAAATTGTCCTTGTTACAACAACTGGTGCCACTGTGTTAAGTTTGACGTGCCGTCGTCTGTCATACTATTTAAGTACTGCAGCGCGCGATCTTTCACAGTTCACACTGCTGGCCACTGCACTACCCCGCCCACGGTTATACTCAAGCGCCTACGTGGGCGCAGTCCGTCTCAAAAGGTACACGATACGCGCTTTTCTTTCACTATTTGTCTTTTTCTCTACCAATAGTCTGTGAGCACTTTTGGCAGTTTCAAGGTTAAGCTAATCATGTCATTTTCTAAAACTAGTTTTTAATCAATAAACCAATTTAGAAACTACGCATATACTACGTTATATCCATTATTAGTGGCAAAATTCAAGTGACTATTGTAATGGTACGGTTGCAAACCACCAAAAAAACGAAATACTAAAATAAAACCTTGTCACTTACCTAGCATGGGGTGCATCATGGGGTTCATCATTCCAGGTTGCGCGTACTTGTAAATCTCACTCATTTTCTGCATCAGCTGCAATCAACAGCTTGTGTTAAATACTACATTTTATACATACAATATACATACGCATACCATGCATCTATGTTTACAGTCAAGTGCATATTAACCGGTACAGCGAAGACTTGGTTAATACACTGATGCTTATTTTGGTGTAGAGAATTTCATACATTACACACTATACTTGAGCCACTTTAAAAAGTATGAAAAGCTCTCTCCACACTTCCTTCTATTTTCTAATACATTTGTGCACAATAAACATAAAAGGGAACAAGCTTTTTGTGCAATTGACTGTACTTATGCTATAGAATAGGGTTGCTAAAAGCTGTTAGAAGTGAATACTCATTCCGACGACTGCACACTGCACAAGGAAAAAGGCATGCTAAAATAAAATAAACTTATACAGAGATCCAACTTACTATTTTATTAACTATTCGATAATAATTATAATGCCAATGTTTATTGGATTGATAGACTATTTTATTTACGCAATACCTTGTCTCCCTATGGCAAATAATTTCAAGATAGTACATAATCATTTCAACTATAAAAATAAGTTCGACACATGCGGGGGACCACTTTCAAGTTATTTTTGAAGTACACAATGCACATTTTTGAAGCATAACAAATCGTATAGAAATTAGAAACTCGTGATATTTCAAAAATACGTCCATTCATTGGTTTTTTGATCGAGTAATTAATTTTATTCATAAATATACCCCAAACGGCAAAAATATTTTAAATTATGGATGAATAACCAGTTATATTTCTAAAATCTTGAATAATTTCTTATAAAATATTATGTAACTGTGCCAAGCAAGTTGGATCTCGGCACGCCAGGCGTAAAAATATAGTAATATTATATGGAGAGAGGTATCTACGCTACACTTACGCCATAGTCATATCCACCGAACATCTGGACAAATAAATATACCGGCATTATTTATGTGTTTCAGTACAATGAACGCTCTTCTAGTTCGAGTATACTGTTCGGTTACACATTTTTTTAAGTTTAAATGAGGGGATTCAAAAACTTTAGGTTTCGATGTCAACCACTGAGGGGCAAAGAAACTCATTTCTTGTGGCCAATGGGAAGATTTCAATCGTCTTGTACTCTCACTGGCGACTATCACAATTTTTTTATGCCCACCAGCGGGTTACAACAAGAATAGTCCGACATAAACCATTTTGGACAACCCACAAGGTGGACAGACGAAAATCATTAGGGCAGGCCTATGTTCACCAGTGGACGCGAAATCATGAACGATGATAATACAACACTAAGTGCTTGCACACGTTGACTCGCGGGCGCGGGCGCGGGCGCGGTGACGAAATATCAAACATATGTAGTGATTCCAAGTGTTCACGTACGAAACGCACGTGCGGTCTAACTAGCGGGCAAGCTAGCGACTGGCGCGCGCGGAGCGCTCGCGGTAATTTCAACGCGTGAAGATGTTTGTGTGTGTTCATGTCAAACTAGCGGCGGCGCGCGCGTTTCACTCACGACGTCAGGTAAGTTCAACCAGTTTGATCTTGTCGCTAGAAACGATAGCACGTTTTTATCATGTCGTTCAATACAGAAGAGTTTATTAGTGCTATTCAGGCTAGAACTCCTATTTGGCAAAGTAAACACAGTCATCATAATGAACAGAAATGTTGTTTAGTTGATAACGATAATATTAATTAAATTAAATAATAAAGAGGAACCTTGTTTGAATTTGATTTTGATTGAAAATTATAAATTACTTACTAAGAAAATCTTTTTTTTAANGCACACCAATTCTAATTTTTAGCATCTCCCACTTTAGGTATGAATTTTCGGTTAAAAATAAAAGATCGTCGTCCATAATTCGACCTCTGACAATACGTCACAATCGCGCGAACGCCTGGTCGTCAATATGAACACGAGCTCGCGACGTTACCCGCGCCCGCGCCCGCGCCCGCGCCCGCGCGTGCCTACGTGAACAAGCACTAAGAGACAAAAGCAACATTTCTTGTGTCCACCAAGTTTTCAGTCGTGTTGTCGCCTCACTTTCAGATATCACAATCGCCAAATTTTTTTCTGATGTCGACCAGTGGGGGACAAAAGCAGGAATAATGCCCGTTTTCACCATCCATCCCTAATTTTAAAGTGACCTAAGGTATTTATTATTACTATTGATTTTTTGGGCCTTCATTTGCGCCAGCTCGACCAGGTTTGATCTATTGTGGCAGCCCTTGTGTTTAGAGTTCACTGCTTAGTCCCGTTGAGCGACCCAAGGTAACATACAACAGGAATTTTGTTTTCATAAGATTCACTTAAAAATTAGGGATTGAAGTTGAAAACGGGCATAAGGCCCTTTGGGGGTGAACCCACCAGGCATTGAACAGGGTACTCACGGCAGGGTTGGCGTTGTAGATGAGCGGCAGCATGTCTCGGATCTGGTTGTCGTTGATGTTGGGCATGTCCTTGCGCAGCATGGCCGCCAGCGCCGCGTATGCTAATTGCTGCTGCTGCTGCGCTATTAGCCCGGACACTGTGGAATTGAAAATAAATCTAGTGCTCATATTTTCCAAAAAATTTCAACATTTGAGATACAGATATTGGACATTTACAGACGTCACTTCGTCGGTTGCCTCTCTAATTTTCAGGCGATTAGACAGATCGATTCGTCTTGCAAAATTGATTGAGATGGTGTAGATAACTCAGTTTCGAAAAAAATGTCAGATACCTACGTCAGTTAGAGAGGCAAGCGACGACTTAACACTTAAATAACACGCAGCATTCCATGATATTGTGTGTGTTCCATTGTAGCACTGCAAGCACTGCTCAGTGTTCCACACCGAAAAGTGAGTTTTAACAAAGCTGTCACTTTATGCGCATCTGAGCGCCGCTACACTACCGTAAATAATTACTTAGAATTGTGTGACGTCAAAACGCTCACCACGCAAAGTTAAACGCTTGTATCTTTTTTCTTTGTAGTCCAAATAAATACGTCTTTTACTTACTGAATTCTTCTTTTCAAAATCTTCGCGATTACACGTGGAACACTTAAAGTCTAATTCAGACAAGCAGGTTTCTGGTTGGTCCTCATTGGTGAGGCACTAAGGCGGTATTCGTGCGGTTACGAAGCGATGCAAATATATGAGAACTGCCCAGCAACCGCGCGATTATCGTTGTGTCTGAACCTAGCCTAATGCCGGCAGTACACTCTCGTCAAAGTCTCGTCCAAGAGCTCTCGCCCAGACTTGCCCAAATGTCTTGCGAGACAGCCCCATCTGCGAACACGGGACCGAAAGCGAGCGAGCGATAGCGAACACCTCGAAATGTAGCGGAAGTTCGCACTTGGCATGTCTCGTGGTATCTGAGCGAGAGTGTACTGCATTTATAAAGTTTACTATTGTGTACTCACTCATGCCGTTGGCCATGGGCCAGCCGGAGGGGAAGGGCGCGGGCGGCGGGCGGTTCTTCTCGCTCTCAAAGTCCCCCCACGCCGCCTTGCGTTCCTCGGCTGTGTACCTGTGTCGCGGCTCTGTACCTATGTCACGCTTTACCTGTGTTGCGCTGTACCTATGTCGCAGTCCGGGACTACAGTTGACTAGAGTTAAGACTCACTCATGCCGTTGGCCATGGGCCAGCCGGAGGGGAAGGGCGCGGGCGGCGGGCGGTTCTTCTCGTTCTCAAAGTCCTCCCACGCTGCTTTACGTTCCTCCTCACTTAGAGTTTCTTCCTCTTTGTTCTCAAGCAGCGAGTCGTGCTCGTGGTACTTGTATATCTGGAATTAATGATTGTGTTAGCAGTGGTGGTGGTAAAATAAATAACGTCAGTACATAAACTTGGCCAGTAAAAGTGATAGAATGGGTCTCGCGGGATGATCGTTATCGTGTCATTTGATCTCCCTCCATTAGGAAGCACGACCCTCTTACTTTCGCCGAAAATTTACCTGCATGGCAAATGGAGGATTTGGTCTTCACCCCCCATTCTGGTTCGACGAGTTGGGGAGATCTTATTTGTTCCTTAATCATACAACATTCACGGGAAGCGTGGCTCGGTTCTCATCCCGTCTGGATGTGTGGTGTCAATAGAGGAGAGTAGGACCACTCTCACTCTTCCCGATACGATAATCGGGGACGACTAGAACAGTCCAGGCGCCAGCGAGCGGCTGTAACTGCGCGTCACGCTGTTCTCAGGCGCGAATGTACTTTGTACTTGCGCGTCGCACTGTCCCCGGTCGTACTAGCTGTACCTATGTGTCGCACTATTTTCTGGCACTGTGTAAATGCGTGTCATGGTTGTACCTGTGTGTCGAGCTATTCCTAACACAGCTGTACCCTCATGTCACACTGTGTTCAGACGCTGTGTACCTGCTTGTCATGTTCGCGTAGCATCTCGGCGAACAGGCGGTCCTTGGGCAGCGGCGGCAGCGGGCGCGGCTGCGGCGGCGTGGGCTCGAACTTGTATAGTTCTGCGAGGTCGTTCTCCGCGTAGTGCCGGTCGATCTGTTGCTCGTCGATCACGCGCTTCGATATCGCCTGCTTTGTCACTTGCCGCTCGTAGATTTTCTCTTCCATTGTGCCCTAAAACGATAATAGGAATTTTGTTTAATTTAGGATAATTGGATAGCGTAGAAATCATCACGACATAAAAATAAGGAGTGTTTATTTATTTAAAAATATGAGTGCGATGTGGAAGTCATTGGGGGAGGCCTATGTTCAGCAGTGGACGTCCTGTGGCTGAAATGATGATGATGATTTGAAAATATGAAAAAAGTTTGCAATAATGTCCACATTCTAAGGAAAGTTATGTTTTACACGTTTGCTGTCACTTGTCATTTAAGGAAACAGAATTATAATTTCAAATGGTGCGCAAAATCTAAGTTAACATGCTCCGTTTCAAGGCAGCGCATGGTCGTTGAATCCTCCTTAAACGAGACTTTCACTTGACAGTATTAAACTCACCATGGCCAAGAACCGGTACATATAGCACGGCTTCTTCTGGCCGAAGCGGTACTATGCTCTGTACGTCATGAGACGGGTTCCACGACAAGTCAAAGATGACCACGCGGTTGGCTGCCACTTTATTATCACACCATACACTCACCATGGCTAGGAACCGGTAGATATAGCACGGCTTCTTCTGGCCGAAGCGCTACACGCGGAAGATGCTCTGTACGTCATGAGACGGGTTCCACGACACGTCGAAGATGACCACGCGGTTGGCTGCCACTTAATTATGACACAATACAAACTCACCATAGCCATATACTGGAAGACGCGGAAGATTCTTTGCACGTCATGATATAGCAGGACTCACTGATAAGTTTTTTCAAGTTTTTACTTAGTTTCACCTGTCCGATGTTTGTCATCAAATCTTGTTCTCAAAAGTTTCACACAAAAGTAAACTCACCATGACCAAGAACCGGTAGATATAGCACGGCTTCTTCTGACCGAAGCGATACACGCGGAAGATGCTCTGTACGTCATGAGACGGGTTCCACGACACGTCGAAGATGACCACGCGGTTGGCTGCCACTTTATTATCACACCATACAAACTCACCATATCCATATAACTACTGGAACAAATACTGGAAGACCCGGAAGATTCATTGCACGTCATGATATAGCAGGGCTCACTGATCAGTTTTTTCAAGTTTTTACTTAGTTTCACCTGTCCGATGTTTGTCATCAAATCTTGTTCTCAAAAGTTTCACACAAAAGTGAACTCACCATGACCAAGAACCGGTAGATATAGCACGGCTTCTTCTGGCCGAAGCGGTACACGCGGAAGATACTCTGAACGTCGTGGGAAGGATTCCACGAAACGTCAAAGATGACCACGCGATTGGCCGCTACCAAGTTGATGCCCAGTCCGCCCGCGCGTGTCGAGATCAGGAATAATCTGGTACATAAATACAAAAATTCAAGAATTGTATACGGATTAGCAAGCTGAAGTGGCAATGGGCAGGGCACATAGTGCGCAGAACTGACGGCCGATGGGGCAGCAAGGTTCTGGAATGGAGGCCGCGTACCGGAAGGCGCAGCGTGGGACGTCCACCTACAAGGTGGACCGACGACATCGTGAAGGTAGCAGGGAAGCGCTGGATGCAGGCCGCTACCAATCGATCAATGTGGAAAGCATTAGGGGAGGCCTATGTTCAGCAGTGGACGTCCTATGGCTGACATGATGATGATGATGATGATGAAGAATTGTATAACATGAAACAAGACTAATCGAGAGGAGTGTATGCCAAATCCCAATTTAGTCACGGGTACATTGGAGGATCGTGGTCTTGCTCCTGCAGTGGAGACGAATGCCTTGATCACACGTACCGAGTAAACGGGCGAGACAGTAAAATGTTTACTCGGTCGAGACAGTTGGGTGAGCGAGTCACATACTCGAGCGCTCGGCCGAGCACTCGGCGTAATGTTCATACACACCGAGTACTCGGCCGTGAGTCTCGCCCGTTTGCTCGGTACGTGTGATCAAGGCATAAACGACCTGGATGCTGTTAATGATAATGAAGCGTGACAAAATGACATTTCCACGTTTGCTTATTGATTTCATCTTTTGAGCATATTATTGATTCAAATACTCCTGCCCTAAATAATGACAGTCTGTTTCTATTTTACTTACAACTTTACTTTTCAGAGAAAAATATTTGAGTGCATTTATTGTAAGCTTGTTTCCCGCTCTACATTTCAGTAACTTAAGTATTTTATACAAAACTAACGTCTTTGACCTTTGTCTTTTGTTTGAAATATTTGTTTAGAATTTGAATTATTTTATTAGTCGGGTGAAAAGATGAACTGACCTTGCTCTAGGATTGTCTTCTCTGTTGAAATTTTTGCACCAAATAGATCTGTTTTCACACGACGTCGATCCGTCAAGCCTGAAGTAGTCCACACCTGGCGACCATGAACCTACAAACGAATACAAAAAATGTTATTTAATATTATTTCCACCAAAAAATCTCACCACTCACCGAAGATGGAAAAATAGGCTAGATGACAAAATTAAAATTTTTGATTGTCAGACAAATAACAAAAAAATATTGGGCACGTATTTTTCCTTTTTTTTTTTCATCATCAAATAATTACAGTGCTACATCGAGTTGAAATATCGCATGACGTCATGATTATGTAGAATTTTTACAGTAACTATTATTTATTTTTCAAAATATCCCTTTTAAATTGTACTCACCCACGTGACCGCCTAGTTTCTCGTCAATGCGTCCTTCTTGCGTCGCTTCGTCCACTTTACCGAGGAAGTGCTCAATGAGATCTAACGAGTACAATGATTGGGAGAACACCAGTCTGGAAAACAAATGAAATGACTTTAATAACGGCTTTTTTATTACAAGCTTTATATTGACTTCACTTGTTAGTATGTGTGGGAAAAATCTTGCAACTGAATTTAAGACCACTTCTCCTCAATCGATTGAGCTGAAATTTGCTATACTTATGTAAGAACGATGACAATGCAATGTTATGGTACCATTGAACTGGTCTGATGATGGAGTCAGGAGGTGGCCATAGGAACTCCTAAACAAAACGGCGGAAACTTGTCGAGTTTGGGATCGTTGGATTCGTTTTCCCGAGCACTTTGGTGCTAAATAATGACCAAGCCCAAAGATTGAGATACAATTTAAAAGTGTAAAATAAAATTATTAAAAAAAATCTTTTTTTAAAACAAGCTTTATCCTGTATCCCTCGAATCGAAAGCTTGTAGCGCATACAGAAAAAAAAGAGGACTTAATTTCATGCGCGATACAAGCTTTCGAGGGATACAGGATAAAGCTTGATTTTAAAAAAGATTTTTTTTCATAATTTTTAACATCACGATTAGGCAATAAGTAAGACGTTGTATTGTCAAAATAATCATTAATTTGACGATATTTCTGCGAATAACTAACTTGAGGATTGCAATCTATATTATATAAAGCTCGATTACCACTCACTGACTCACTCACTGATCAGGGGTATTTTTGGGGTGTTTAGAGGGGAGAGGGGTAAAATTGTTGGTGTTTGTTTTTTACTAGATTTTTTGACACCCAGGTTTTTTAGATTTTTTGAACCAAAAAACAAAATGGCGGCATTTTTTGAGACAACAACTTTTTTGTTTTTCATCCTGAATTTTTTCCTTTTTGGGAGTTTATTTTGGTTGCCAAGATGTGTTAAAAAAATTGAGAAAAAAACGGAAAAACAAAATGGCCGCGCCGCCATCTTGGATTGAAAATGCGATTTCGAGGTGTTTTTAGGGAGGTGTCACTCCGAGATGCGCAATTGTTTTTGAAAATTTCTTTTGAGTATTTGTGACATGTATAGTCTTCTTGAGAGCCACATTTACAGATTATCAAAAAACAAGATGGCGGCTGAGCCGTCGGCCATTTTGTTGCGATCAAAAAATTCCCAAACTTTGGTAGCAATTTTCCCGTAGATGGCGACACCGGAGTGGGGTACAATGTTCCGGGCGATTGTTGGTCTGTTATTCAAATGTTGCCATGTATAGGAAAAAACTACCATTTTGGAAGAAAATTTTCCACCACGGCCCCGGATAGTAGAAAATGGAAATTTCCAGAAATTCCATAAACTTGGAATGCAGTCTGGTGACGTTTGGGGACCCGAATGACATTTCACCATTTTTATCAAAAAAGTCTGGCAACACTGAAAGTTACGGGGAAAAGTTTTTTTTGCGACATGGGTGTCTTTAAAGTTAGTGACAGACAGAAAGAATTGTGGCAGAAAAAAATTAAAAATGACGTTTGATTGGATATACGACCCAGATTATGGGAAAAATCCGAAATGTCAAAAAATCAAGATGGCGGCGGCGTGGGCGGCCATTTTGTAAAAAGTTGAAAATTTCGAAATTTTGGAATTCATTTTTCCAGTAGTTGGCAACACTTTGGAAAGTCGAGTTGTATGAGGCGGTTGTGTGTCTTGTCGAGAGGTTTCGCTTGGGTGAAGAAATTTCTCCAGTGTTGCCATACCTTAGGAGATTCGGTCCAAAAATGTCGAAAGTAGAAATAACGACTTCCGGTCGAAAATTTGGATGACGCCTCCTGCAAAGGGGTCGTGCAAATGACATTTGACCATTTTCATCTCGATCACCTGGCAACACTGGGAGCTACGGGGAAAAGTATTTTTTTCGACATGGGTGTCTTTAAAGTTAAGGACGGACAGAAGGAGATATGGCAGAAAAGATCCAAAAATGGGGTTTGGTCGGTTATACGACCCAGACTATGGGAAAAATCCGAAATGTCAGAAAATCAAGATGGCGGCTGAGCGGGCGGCCATTTTGTAAAAAGTTTCAGTTTTCTGATTTTTCAAATGCATTTTTCGGGTAGTTGGCAACATTTGGGAAAGTCGAGTTGTTTGTGGCGATTGTGTAGTTTGTCAAGGAGTATCGTTTGGAAAAACAACAATTTCCAGTGTTGCCATACTTTGAGAGATTTGATCCAAAAATGAAAAAAATTGAAATAACGACTTTCGGTCAGAAATTTGGATGACGCCTCCTGCAAATAGGTCAAACTAATGACATTTGACCATTTTCATCTCGATCACCTGGCAACACTGGGAATTACGGGAACACAAAATTTTGTGACATGGGTGTTTTTAAGGCGTTGCTCCTCGGGACTGGGTGAAGTTAGAAAAAAAGTAAAAATGGCGTTCGGCGCGGAAAATGGTCCAGATTAAGGCAAAAATGCAAAATTTTGGAAATCCAAGATGGCCGCCAAGCGTTCACCCGTTTTCCTAAAGGGACTAAATTCTCCATACAAATTGTATGCAGGGGGGCTTGGTTAACGTAGAAAAAGGCGAGGCCGAAGGCCGAGCGATAGTTTAAAGCCTGTGAGTCGCCATAGATTTATTTTTAATGCGTCAAAAAAGGATTAGAGCCCAGTGACAGACAGAAAGGCGAGGCCGAAGGCCGAGCGATGGTTCAAATCCCGACAGTTACCATAGTTAAACTTGTGTTGCGTCAAAAAAGCACAAGAGCACAGAGACAGACAATAAACGCCCCCTGTAATTTTTCGAGGCCGAAGGCCGAGCTCCGAATGCGAGGCCGCAGGCCGAGCGCCGCGTAGGGCGAAGCCCGGAGCGGCCAGCATCGCAGATCTAGCTTTTGTAGCCCGCGTAGCGGGCGACCAAAGCTAGTCTATAATATATANGAAAGAGGCGAGGCCGAAGGCCGAGCGATAGTTACAAGCCCGAGAGTCGCCATAGGTTAAATTTAATGCGTCAAAAAAGGACTAGAGCCCAGTGACAGACTGAAAGGCGAGGCCGAAGGCCGAGCGATGGTTCTAATCCCGACAGTCGCCATAGATTTACTTGTGCTGCGTCAAAAAAGCAAAAGAGCCTTGCGACAAACGATAAACGCCCCGTGTAATTTTTGCGAGGCCGAAGGCCGAGCTTCGAATGCGAGGCCGCAGGCCGAGCGCCGCGTAGGGCGAAGCCCGGAGCGGCCAGCATCGCAGATCTAGCTTTTGTAGCCCGCGTAGCGGGCGACCAAAGCTAGTCCTCATATAAAGTCAGCATCAATAAATCAAGGTAGGTTCGTACCGGGCGTACTCTCAACCAAGTTGATTAATTACCACCTTATGGCTTATATTTCTTCTCAGTTTTCAAATAATGGACAAGACAAAAGACAATATTGTGGGCAGGACTGAGTGTCATCATTTCTTGCAAACGAAACATTTTTAAAGTGATCATGCGTCGTCTCTGTTGACGGTACAAACGGTTAAGTTTTGCCGGTGACTGTAACACAATGGGCGGCGAAGTTTTGCAGACACATTGCATCAAATGCTTAAGCTTGCAGATCGCCATCGCCGGCGCGATCACAGGCCAATGACAGGTCGCGCGGACTGTCATGGGTCGCGCGACCTGTCATTGGCCTTTGATCGCGCCAGCAATGGCGATCTGCACGCGTTGGTGTGGTTGAAGCATTAGCTGTAGTCTGGTCCGTGAGCACGTAGAATTTTGTCCAATGACCCCAAGCTTCCCATCCTTATCACTCGCGCGTAATTATATTGCTTGGGGTCATTGGACAAAATTCTACATACTCACAGACCGGGCTTTATAAAAGTTACAATAGCTAAAGCCTGGTCCGCGAGCACGTAGAATTTTGTCCAATGACCCCAAGCTACCCATCCTTATCGCTCGCGTGTAATTATGTTGCTGTCGCGCTCGCACACTCACTGCGGGCGCCCCGTCGCACAGTCGCGACAGCAATATAATTACACGGGAGCGAGAAGGATGGGTAGCTTGGGGTCATTGGACAAAATTCTACGTGCTCACGGACCAGACTATAGCTGGATCCACCACTCGTCGGGTCCTGTTCTCAGCTGCACTGTAACACTCACAGCTTGTCGCCGATGGCCTCGCACTGGCGCAAAATGTCGAACAGCAGCACGAGCTTGTGCGAGTGGCGCATGTCTTCCAGTTCGTCCTCTGTCACCAGCTTGATCCACCACTCCGTAGGGTTTTCGTTCTTTAGCTCCACGATTTCGTTTTGTTCGTCCTCTTCCATTTCCACTGGAATGTGAAAGGAACGTGAGAATGATGGCTACCGATTTGTGCTAAACAAGAGAAAGAGTGACAAGATCTTATCTCAAAATACCGAGAGGAACAAATACAAGCTACAATCAGCCTGTGAGGAACGCACACGTAGAGATCGCTCACAAACAATTTTGTAGCGGACGGCTCTCGCCTTCGATTCCCTATAATATGGTCGAGTGAAGCGATGGCTGGTTCACACGTCAGTCTGTGAGCAGGCGCTGCCTTCGGGGACTGGTCAAGGAAAGATATACTTGACATAAAATATATGTATCAAAACGCAACAATTAACCTAGAAATTAGCACGGCACTAAAGAAATATATTCAAAACTGCCACGCGGTCTCGTGCTAGATGGGCGTCTTAAAGGCCACCTATCAACGGGAGCGCGTGGTAAGTAACTTGCTTCTGAATGTATTGTAACTTCCTACTTTTTTATATTTTTAAACCGGCAGACAGTGGTGACTGAGTTTGTTGCGGCGCTTCTTCTCAGCACTTGCCAAATGTTTGTCTCGAAGCGCTGGTAGGGCAAAAAAAGAATGAGACATGTATAGGCTCCTTAAGAGCATTTGACGATTCGCAAGTACTACTTTAATTAGTCTAAACAAATAAAGATAATTTTGATTTTTGATTTTTTTTTGATAGTGTATGTAACTCGTGTCTAGGCCAGTGTGTAGCTTGTCTTTTGTTTTTCTCTCACTCTCAGTAGCCTTGGTAGGCACAAGCGAATGATAGGACATATTGTCATCATAGTCTTCGACCATCTAGCTAGGTCAGTGTGAAAAAACTATAGTCACTCAAGTGAGTACCTCTTATTAACCGACCGATTTGAGGATCTTGATTTATTTTTAAAATGTCATATTTTCAACTACCAACCTTTTCGAGAATTTAATGTTTTAGTAAACTTGTCCATGAAAGTTATTGGTTAAATAGTGGTTAAATACGCACCAGGGTTGGCCCGGGTCCCGCGGCGCGTGGTGACCTTGGCGTCCTTGGCTTTGCTCTTCTTGGCGGACTTTTTCTTTTTACTCTTCTTCCGGCTATCGTCGCTCATGTCTGACAATTCGTCTGTGGATTCTTCTGTTGACGACTCCTGGTAGACAAGAAAAATAGTTATTGTAGATATACACAAAGTTTCGGCGAAAGGCGTTCAGCCTGCGTCCGCGAAAGGCTAAAAACCGTTCTAAAAAGCCCACGGTGTGAGAAGCTAAAAAATCCATCGTACGGGGTTTTTAGCTTCTTTTTTAACAAGGTGCTTCACACCCTTTGCACGATCATCATTCGGCAATAAATAGAAATAAAACACTGTTACAATATTTTAATAAAAATATGTTTTTATACTTACTTCTGGAGTGGAATCATCATCTATGAAATCTACTAATGATCCCTCGGAGTCTTCTTCTTCTCTCTCCCTCTGTAAAAAAAAATATCAACTTATTATTTCATGACAATTATCTTAAGGTCATCTTATTTTGCACTTAATACAGAAAGATAAAGTTCAGCGTAATTTATTAAAAGTTTAAGGCCCAGAACACACGGTGAAACGCAATTAGGCCAGTAGAATTAAACACAAAAATTGATTAAATCGGAAATAATTCCTACAAAAGATTTTTTTGCTTTAATGGCTTCATTGGTTGCCCATTAAGACTCTCCTAAGTTTTCGACTTCGACGGAGTTGTGCTTAAGTAGTGGGGGCCCCCGAAAGGGGCGTTTTTTCGGTTTTCCGGTTATACCACGTAAAGGACTTACCCTATCGAAAAGTGGTCTTCATGACGGTTAAAGGGCACTTAATCCTGCATTGAATAAGACCAAATTCATATGTTTTGGACAAACCGTGCTCGCGCTAAAGCTCGGCAAAGTAGAAAATATACGTATAATTAATGACCCTCTCCACGTCCAATGGCTTGTTACCCACATGCTTCCAAGCCTTGTAAAGGGTCGCCTTAACCAGTGTAACCCTAACAAGGCTCACGAGTTTGATTCGCTTATCCTTGTTCGTCCCAGCCGTTCCTTAACTGCGGTTGCTGCACCTCTTCCTGGCACTCTCCTGAACGACTCTGTGTTACCTAATGTGGCTGCCCCTCTTCCTTGTACCCTCCTGTACGATTTCATTGCTTAGCCATATGCCTGGTTCAAGGTTCGACGCCACAAAATCAACTTCGTACGAGTGAAAATAGTTTAAATACTATTTCCCGTGCTTGCAACATTTTTCTTTACTGCTTCGCCTCTATTAGTCGTAGAGTGATTGTATATATCCTATAGCCTTCCTCAATGTATGAGCTATTCAACACAAAAATAATGATTTCAATCAAACTAGTAATTCTTAAGATTAGCGCGTTCAAACAAACAAACAAAAAACTCTTCAGCGTTTTAATATGAACTTGTTGTTGTTGATTTTTGGCGTCGAACCTTAGACCAGGCATACGGCTAGGCAACGTAGTCATGCAGGAGGATACAAGGAAGAGGGGCAGCCACAGTAGGTAACACAGAGTCGTTCAGGTGAGTGCCAGGAAGAGGTGCAGCAACCGCAGTTAAGGAACGGCTGGGACGAACAAGGATAGGCGCATCAAGCTCGTAAGCCTTGATAGGGTTACACTGGTTGAGGTGGCCCTTTTCAAGAATTGGAAGATTGTGGGTAACAAACCATTGGACGTGGAGAGGGTCATTAATTATACGTATATTTTCTACTTTGCCGAACTTTAGCGCGAGAACGGTTTGTCCAAAACATATGAATTTGGTCTTATTCAATGCAGGATTAAGTGCCCTTCAACCGTCATGAAGACCACTTTTTGATAGGGTAAGTCCTTTACGCGGTATAACTGGAAAACCGGAAAAATGCCTCTTTCGGGGGCCCCCACCACTTAAGCACAACTCCGTCGAAGTCGAAAACTCAGGAGAGTCTTAATGGGCAACCAATGAAGCCATTAAAACAATAAAATCTTTTGTAGGAATTATTTCCGATTTAAAAGCTAATTCTACTGGACTAAATGAGGGTTTTCGCGAATGAAAAATCCGCCAGATGGCAATACGTAAACGCGAGGTCCAAATGCTGCATGATTGGTTATTTTTGACATGACATTGACAGATATGTCAAAATCCACCAATCACGCAGCAGTCAGACCCCACATCCACTTCCCGCCATCTAGCGGATCTTTCATTCGCGAAAACCCTCATTGCAACGAAACTGCAACTGTAGTTACTTTTGAGTTGCATCGAAATTTCTGCCATAGATTCCGTTGAGAGACCACACATGACGCGACGCGTTTCACCGTGTGTTCTCGGCCTAAGAGGCGCAGTTATTTGATAGGACTGTACTTGCCTTTTTCTGCTGCATAATCTCATATCGCTCGGAGTTGTATTTTAACACAAGCGGGTGCGTCCATATCCGCTGTAGCGATTGGAAATCCGGGAACAGGAAGCCGGATGACTTACCCGGGAGTGGTCTATGGGAACAAATACATTTGGATTTAATTAAGTAACGGTTTAAGAACTTTATTTCTCATAAGAATTAACAATAATTCACTTCCTGAGAAACATTTCAATTCGAATTATTTAAACATAACGAAACGAGTGTACAACTATGCCAAACAAAATCAAGGTTTCACAAAAAAAAAATTCGAGCCAAAGCATAACGAGCCACCACACGCCAGTCAATCACGGATGTAATGCGCATTGAGCGAACTTTGTAAATTGGGAACAACATTAGACAATAATTTCTACTTCTCTAATTAGCTTGGACAATCATTTAGTTACCAGATTAGATTTTTAGTTTAAAATGGTGGTAAAGTTTGTCCTTTGAAACGCAATTTTTCTTAATGTTGGTTGTTTTCTATGTAAAATTCATAAATAATTATTTTTAGTTTACCTTCTCGAGTAGTTCTCCAGGTAGTGCTGGTAAAGCTTGCACTGCACCTCCGATAGTGTGATGAATAGCACATACTCATGCTTAGGGGGTAGGAATGGCGCTAGTACGCCGTAGTCTCGCCTCTGCAAGGAAATAAATTTCTTTCTTTCTTTCTTTTCGGCCAAATGACGTCCACTGCTGGACAAAGGCCTCCCCCAAGGTTTTCCACAATGAAAGGTCCTGCGCTGCCCGCATCCAGGCTCTTCCCGCGACCTTTACCAGATCGTCGGTCCACCTAGTAGGAGGCCTGCCAACGCTACGTCTTCCAGCCCGTGGTCGCCAAGGAAATAAATAATAAGTGATAATACAACTATGGTAAACAGCGGGGTATTCCCGTCAAATCTTTTCATAGTTTTTGGACTAAAACACAAAGAAGTACGATTAAAAATATGGTGGGAAATATATTCCCACTGATTTATTAGGCGCTTCATGACGCGTCATGCTTTGTAGAATCTGTACTGGCTGTTGGTGATGAAGTTCACGAAGCAGTTGAGGTACTCGTTGTACATAAGGTCATATTATGTCCCCTCGATGGGGCAGAGGTCGTCCACAACAGTAGCACTGTTGTGGAGGACTCGTTGTAGTGGTGGGAAATATATTCCCACTGATTTTTAAAATGCAAAAAAAATGCTATTTACTAACCTGTACAGCTCCATCCAGCATCTTATGCAGCACGTGCGAGCGGCGCTTCATGATGCGAATATCGTGTTCCGTGGAGTCGGTATACTGGCCGTTGGTGATGGGGTTGACGAAGCGATTGAGGTACTCGTTGTATTTTCCAAGAAGGTTCGGCTTCACGAACTGTACCATGCAGTAGTCTGGATGCAGAAATGGGAAAAGTATTATAGATCATGATGCCTAATCATAGTACCTATGTATAGGAAGTCTTCACTTTTGATGTGGCTATTCAAATATGAACGTTGGGTTTCAATCTAGTAAACAAACGCGTTTTACTGTTGTAAACTATCAATGTTTTTCGGCGGAAAATTTCCTGCAAAACATACGGAATCTATGCTACAACTTTGCTAAAATCCAAAAGGGCTCTTTATTTAACAATTATATTATTATAATCAATTATAATCTATCTATCAATTTAATAATCAATTAAATTTGAAAAAATAATACACACAGTGTCAACATAATAAAAACTTACAGAGGAAGCTACCTGCGCCCTACCCTTATTAAACAACCAAAATCTAGCCTATAACTTACATTCCTTCAAGTTATTCTGTAGCGGCGTGCCAGTGAGTACGATGCGTCGCAGAGTCTTCACTCTGTTCATGGATTGAGAGAGGCTGGTCTTTTCATTCTTCAACAAGTGGCCCTCGTCGCATACCACTAGGTCCGGTCCTGGGAGGGAAACAATTGAATATTATGAAATAATCAAAATGAAGAAAGATCGTTAGTGTAAACAATATTGTAAACAGTAATTGTTATTAAACATTTCTCTTGCTCTTTTTTTTTATATCTGTGAAAATTTTTTCGCAATGATACTAAATGCACCTTTTTTTTAATTTGTTTTTTTTTTAATGGTTTACGATATGCAGCTGTGACTGACTATTGTTTTTTTGCCAAGCAAAGGATCTCTGTTGTTTCAATTTTTTTTGTGTATTTCGTGGCATACATATGTGTTTAGTGTCCATCTACTAATGTTAGTGCAATATTGAAGTTAAGTTTTATTGCTTTTGGAAACTTTTTATGGCGACCAGATGTTGACCTTTCTTGGGTATGCGCTTTGAAATTTTTTGTGCAATAGATGTCTTTTATACAATGTGTTGGTGAAAGTTTTGTAGGGATCTTTTTTGTTATCAGCTATTACTCATACTATAATGACTTGCAGGAAGTAGAATACATGTAGACATCTACGTAAGTGTAGAATCTATATTATTATGTATTAAAATTATCAATAAAAAAGTAAAGTTTATGGACCAAAAGTTAGCGCTTTTGACAAGTACATAATTATATCGATCTATGTTACATATTTTATAACTAGCTTTTAGCGGTTTCACCCGCGTGAAATTTATTTTGTCACAGATCGTCATAAATTATAGCCTATATGTTATCTGTATATCTGGGTTATAAACAATAATACTGTAAAGTTTTATCCAAATCCGTTCAGTATTTTTTGCGTGAAAGAGTAACAAACATGTTGACATCCAGACATCCATACAAACTTTCGCGTTTATAATATTACTAGTAAGTAGTATAAGATGAAAATAATAGATCATATTATGCGATCGTTTTCGTGCTTTTTGGTAAGATAATTGACACCAAATATTTATAAATATGTAATTTATAATCCCCGACGCTTCATGTGACTCTTAACACTATATCTTTCTGTAATGTGTTCGAAACCACCGAAAAATGTATAAAAAATAATAAAGAAAGAAAGATAAGGAAAGATCTGACCGGGTTTCATCGGTCAAGTTTTCTAGGCTTTTAGCTTAGGCGCTGTACTGGTCACTGTGTACCTACTCGCATGTTTTTTCTTCAGGTAGTTTTTCTCACTCAAAAAATTGATCTGTGACGGTTAGACACAAATTTTACACTGCTGAGTTATGTTGTATTGCACGTTGGGTTTCGACCGTCGCGTCGGCGTTAAACGCCATAGGGCTTTGTAAGTGCCTTTTGGGGTCGGACCGTCTGGAGCGCACGTGTTGTGCACGTCCACTCCCGAAGGCTGCCCAAAACGAACTCCTTAACTGGATTATTATTAGTTTTGATTTTTTACACGTTGGACAACTTTATTATGACATTTACAGGAGGGCGCTACCAATATTAATACTGGGTTGTTAGTTTTTGATTTTTGCTTCTTGAGTTTCAGAATCTTGGGACTTTACTTAGAAGTTAAAAAATTATAGGCAGATACGTCAAACAATGTTTGATGGATAAAAGTCTATTGAAAAAATTCGTTAAAATAAATATTTTAAAATATTTTTTATTATATTTGTCCTAATTTCTTCAAATATTGTGAATATTTGCAAAAAAAACACACAAAACAGCCAATCTCGCGAGATTTTGAAATTGGCGAGATCTCGCAGTATTGATAATATAATCATAATCTCGCGGGATCTCGCTTGAGCCCCAATCTCGGGAGATTTGCATTCCCTAACCTATCAAGCTAACAATCGAAGGTTGCAGATGTCATTGCCCTATTTAGAGGCGTGGCATTTTGGCAACAAGGAATCAAAATGAGAGGCAGGCAGCACAAATGACCGATCTGTAAACTGAAGTTTGGATAAATCTTCCGATATCTTGTGGCACAACTGAACCAATGGTGTGTTATAATATCNTTTAATATGGTGAACCAGACATAATTAAAAAATAATTCCTTGAAATAATTTGAAACGTGGGAATTTTGAATCTCATTGGCGTAGGACGTCCACCCACAAGGTGGACCGATGACATCACAAAGGTGGCAGGAAGGCCCTGGATGCAGGCCGCTAGCAACCGGTCAATACGGAAATCATTGGGAGAGGGCTATGTTCAGCAGTGGACGTCCTATGGCCAGTGGCCGAGATGATGATGATGAAATGATTCCCTGACATTTACTTAAAATATGGTATACAGATAAATCGAAGGTTTTTTTTTTATCCACAACGAGGAAGCTCTTGGCCTGTATCTCACCTAATGGTAAGTGACGATCAGGCCGAAGGTGGAAGCGAGCTTCACCCGGAATCCTCAACCACGGAGGAACTGGCTATCTTACCTCTAACTACCGGAACACAATAATGCTGTTAACATTGTTGTTATAGTGACAGACTTAGGTAAGATGGTGGTAGCTAGCCAGGCGGACTTAGAACAAGCCCTGCCACCAACCAAACCGAACAGAAAAATCTGCCCCCACTGGGAATCGAACCCGGGACCTCTGCGTCTAAAGCAGGTGGTCAGCACCACTAGACCACAGAGGCGGTTAAAGCTGTACAGCTGTTAAAGCGGTACAAGCTGTAATGTTATTCGTTTATTCTTTTCATTGTGACCTCTGTGGCCATCATCTCACCTGGGTCCACGAGGCTCTGCTGGAAGGTCTTGAGCATCTTCTTCTTGAACTTCTTGGGGTTGTCGGCGGACAGGTTGCGGAACATCTCGTAGCCGAGCACGCACACGCCGCCGTTGTCGAACCACTGCTGCAGCTGGAACGCGCGCTCCGAGTTCTGTTTGTACCTGGAACGTTTCATTCAACGTTAGAACTACGCTAAAACTCAGGTGTCAGAGCGCTTAGTGTGAGTTTTACATCAAACGCCGTCACTAGCGAGCACGTTAAAAAAATATATGAAGATTTTAGTACTTAGGTTTCTGCTAGGGGCGCTGTACAATCCGTCATACATTTAATGTCACTTTTTTACGCAGTCGACATCGAATGCGTTTGACGTAAACTCACACTACGCCCGATCACACACACTATCGAAAAATAGACGTGTTGATACCACCAATCAATGACGGAGCTCTCTTCTGGGCAAACTAGCTCTCAAATATCAAAACTGCATATTGCACCCCTGGCTGAAATTGTTATCAAGAGCAAGCCTTACATCGCTTTCACGTAAGACGTTAGAATCGTAACAGCAGCGTTTTTATAATTTGAAGGCAAATCCGCTGTCATATACCATGAAATTATCGGCAGCGTGTCTGTCGTGCTGCTTATGTCACCTAAATGTGAAAACGCTCTTAGTGTACGGCTTTCCCTAGTCGAGCGTAGAGTGGGGCGAGGCGGGCAGCTTTCATGTTAAACAAATGTTATCGCACAGTGGTGTCCTGAGAAGCGGCCGAGCGTTGACGTTGTTTGACATGAACGATTCCCGCCCCTCTCTGCTACGCGCCACTTCCGACCAGAGCGGGTACTCTGGCCGTATACTTATACTTTTTTTTATGTTTAGATTATGGCTTCGTGCGGTTTGTACATTTAGCCAGTGTCAAGTAAACTATATTTTTAGTAGCTTATACTTCATGCTGCTGTGCTGTAGTCACCTGCTGTGTGCTGTGACGTCACTGACCTGGAGAGCTCGTACACGTCGACCTCGTAGTCCCTCTCGGCGTGCTTCAGCCACATGCGGAACTCGTTGACCCAGTTGAGCACGGTGGACAGCGGGCACACCACCAGCACCGCTGGTCCCTGGTCAGCTGTTGTGACGTCACTGACCTGGAGAGCTCGTACACGTCGACCTCGTAGTCCCTCTCGGCGTGCTTCAGCCACATGCGGAACTCGTTGACCCAGTTGAGCACGGTGGACAGCGGGCACACCACCAGCACCCGCTGCACGCTTGTCAGCTCGCTGTGCGTCAGCAGCGTATGCGTCAGGGAGACCACCTGAAACAATCACATACAATAACATTACTCATGTCTTTCGAAGAACTACCGGGGAGGCTATACTCTTAACGTCAGCTGTTTTGAATGTATCCAGTCCACCCCTTTCACGCAAAGATGCATAATTATGCGACTTTTAAACCTGAAAATGTATCACCGCAAGTTCTATCGGCGGCTGACTTCGATGAAACAATACAAGGATTAAAAATCGATTCACAATTTAGATTACTTAAATATACTTGTGTTCTAGTTGCTTCAAAATACTCGCCAAGCAGTTAATACTTTATCTTGTTAGTTAGTTAATCTTATGAAAAAATGTATCCAAACAAAGCAGGTGTAGCCAAAAAGTATACTGCAAAGCAAATGTAAAGATAAAACTGCTTACCTGTAAGGTTTTTCCGAGACCCATGCAATGGGCGAGAATACAACCGGATCCCTTGTCTTTCTTGATGCGTTTCACACTTTCGAAACACGCGTCCCACATGAATTTTATTCCGTTCGCCTGAAAGAAAATAATGGAGAAAAATAAGAAAACGCAAAAGAAGGAAAGATTAACTGAAGATTGTCTCTAAATAAGTTTAGATTTTAGATGAAACTGAGACGGGCAATATTTCTGTCAATTTATCTTCGGATTCTAAGATCACACTATTTATTTATGAACAACAAACAAGTGAACATCAAACTTACCTGATGCGGCTTCAACTTCTTGACAAGTCCTCTGTCAACTTCAATAAGTGGCTTCTTAGTTTCCGGATCGAAATCTAATACTACTTTTTCCAGGACCACTTCATCTGGCTTCCCCGATTCATCGAATTCCAAGTTATTGTACTAAAAACAAACAAAATATGTATTTATCATGTTCATTTGTTTTAAATGAGACTACAACGTTAATAAAATGAATACTCACCATTTTTTGTCTCTCAGCAATTCTGGCAATCCTCTCTTTTTCTTGTCTCGCAGCTTTCTTGGTGGCTTCTTCTAATTGGTTTTTGCCCATCACCTGTTCATCAATATAAATGGTTAAAAATAATTATCAATATTCACTTCTTATTATGTCCTTATGAGGCAGTTTTTACGGAGTTTTTGATCTTTCCATATTATGCTACAGTTATGAAAATGTGTCTTAACATTTTAGTCAAGATGACTGAACAATTTAGTCCTCCTAAATATCTATTAGGCATTAGGATTGCCCAGTTAAACTGTATTACTTGCGTTTACTTGTTTCGCCGCAACTACTGAGCAGCTTAGCCCAGTATTCCATAGTTGCAGTTTGAAGAACAACTTGTAAAATTGTAAATAAGTGGCGTCACCTTACGGATATTCTTCCTGCCGTGTTTGTTCTTGCCTTCGGTCTCCGTGTCGGAGCCGGAGCCATCGCTGTCGTTCAGCTGTTTGATGCGCCGCCGCTTCTTTTTGCTGGCAACATTAATGCAAGTTAGGAAAAGAAGCTACATCGTAGCCGATTAATAACTTATTTTACTCGGAACGTGTCGAATTCATTGGGGACAGATACGAGCAAATTTCGTCATTCCTGTGCATGTCTTTTCTAATTCTTACCAAACGCTGTGGAGATGCTAGCAAAAACATGTCATACCAGAGAAAATTAACGTGTTCTGTTCTATTGGACTTCTTACAAAGGCGAAAGCTTTTTATAAATTAGATTTGCTGTATTCGAAATTCCAAATTGGTACATTTGGCCTGCAGTTTTATTCAATTCTTAACGAAAAACGAAGCGCTGTAAACACATTATTTAGTTCCTTAGGGAAAAATACCCAATGTTGACAGGCAAATTAAAAATATACCTTTAAGTGTACACAAATACTCACCTTCCGTCGTTGGATGAGGAGCCGACAGACGCGTCACTGTCAACTGCCTTCTTCCGCCTTTTATTCTTCTTGTTAGATTCGGAGGAGCCATCATCTTCCGAGTCTTCGAAGTCGCTGATCTTGGCCTCCGTGTCGGCGAAGTCCTTCTTGCGCGAGGAACCAGCCTCGCTGTCCGACGATATCGTCGCGTGCGCTTTGCGCCGTTTGGCTTTCATTCTACAAGTTTAGAGGGGTTGGATTATGTTTACAAACCTTGCAATCGGAAACTTTTTCTTTTCACTGATTCTTATCAGTAAAAAAAGGTCCAAATACCAATAGATAAAATCAAGTAATAATTACTCTTATCCTTGTTGGATAGAATAATACTAAAATATACTTATATCATTAAAAAAAAATACAAAATTAATTGATGACAAATTACCCTGTGCGTGCAAGGAGACGCTTATGATTGGTCGGCGACCGTACATGCACACATTGAAACTAATGTGAAAAGCTTAAAAATTATTTACTTTGGGCTTACCTCCCCTTTAACTTGACCTTGACATGCTGGCTGTAAATGCTTGTACAATCACAAGCATTTACATCATATTTTTGAGTACCGATGTTGATGAAACGAATAGTGTTTGCAGCATATAATTATAATCTAATAGTATTCTAATAAGACACCCAACTAGCGTTCACACGTGTGGATGTAATAATACTGTAGTTTCATCAAAATCCGTTTAATAGTTTTTGTTAGTTTATTCACAAATAGCTTTACGTGCGATTTAGCTATTAAACAAAACATGCGTGCTAATTATCACATGCACCTTGATAACACAGTAAGGATCGGATAGATTGTAAGCAATAAAACAAAATGCGAAAAGAAAAAGATGTAGTAAGTAATACAAATAATTTCATTAACACTTTAAAACATGGATATGAATACATAAAAGGTAGCTTTTCTGACATTATTATAAACGAATAGGTAAAATTAGTACAAAGCAAACATTATTACGAAAAAATACCATTCTCCATAATTAAAATTATACTCACGTTGCTTCCTCATCTGAATCAGTCATTTTCTTTTCCTTTAAAATAAAACAAAAGTATTATAAATTACTTTCAAATAAAATCGCATAGCAAACCGCAATAATGTTACAAGTGCAATATCTTTCTCGCGTTAATATTTTCAAGGAAAAAAATCTGGTGTTTTACATCAAAATATCTTACCTCTTTGTCATTGTTTGACCCTGAAGTGTCACTTTCTTCTAATAAATCGTCTTTAGCTAAGTGATCACCACCGGAACCATTCAGACCCGTCAAGGATATTGATGGTAGATCTGGAATGCAATGAATAATGTCTTAACTTGCTGAATTCATGAAAAACCACAAACATATAAATCGATGTCACTGATATTATGTATTAAGAACTGTACAGTCCAGTTTAGACTTGAATATAAACTGGAGAATAGACGTAAACAACTACGCGTAACATCGAAGAGACGTTATCTCTCTCACTCGCCAATCGAGCTATAAAAAATATTTTCAAAGTTATTTCGATTTTGTTCCTTGGTTTATCTGAATTTAGCTGCAATTTTTCGAGATAGGTGAAGTGACGTCTTACGAAAAGTTGCTGGTGGAAGCTGAATACGACAAATCGAAGACAAGGTAAAATGGCGTGTATATTAGGGGAGGAGTGTATGTGCCCTGAATAGGGGCGACAGCACATCAGGCTACCATTTTTGTTGCAAACTCGCCCCTATTTCAACTGCACAAGAACACACAGTGCTTACGTTGACGTGCCGTCGTCTGTACATACAGTGTCTAAGATAAACGTCATTACCTTCTCCAGCTTCGCTCTCCGCGACGGAGCCTGCTTCGGAACTGGTCTCCGCCTGCAGCATATCTTCCTGGTTTATAAGTGGTACTTTCGGCATCTTTTTAGTAGAACTTATGGAATTTGTTTCGGTTTTCTCAGTAGAAGTTGAACCATGCCGTCGACGGTTCTTATTCAGACTGTTGAGATTTGTAAGTCTGAAATATTATAAAAGAGTGAGTTTTATTTTTTAAGTTAAGCATGTCCTAGATAGTACATACAATATTGCTTCAGATTTGATACTATCTTCACTTAAATTAGGCTTTTAATAGTTAAAATACTAAATACGAACTAGATACCATCGAGTTGAATAGATCAGTCAGAGTCAGAGGCGTAAGAAGTTTGATTACTATAATACCTACAACAAAAAGTTAGCTTACGCATGAGAAGCTTGTCAATAAAGGATTGTCTTAGGATAAAAAGTTACTCAGGTACTTACTACACTAGCAATGAAGCATGCAAAAAATCATTCACCACAGGAACACCTGTATCACACCTACGCCGCGTTATCACGACAACTAAACTATCAGTAGGTAGTTACATATATCTGCGTCCATTTCACTACTTGCTGCCAAGCTTTCGTGGCAAAGTACCTATGCTGACGGCGTAATTTCCACTAGGCCTGACAATGGCATAATATGGTTTGTCTGAACATGCCGTTGTGGGGCAAGTACTTATATGGAAACACTTGAGCTAGCCTATAGGGCTGATAATACGCGAGTGAATTCTCCAATTTATTCACTGTAACGCACTATAGGTGTAAACTATTGAACGGATTTCGATAAAAGTTACAGTAGGTCCTATTTATTTAATCTTAAAACGGTATTGAGTCCTTCTGTGGGTAGATCTTTGCCACAGGCAAAAGCTAGTCGCAAATAAAACATTCCAGGATTTGGTCTGAGACCTGAATGAGAATATTATGACGACTGATATTCTCCTTTATGAGGGGCGTAGGCCGAAGGGGAGTGGCCTACCTAAATACAAAAAGACACGTCAAAAAGTACGTTTAAATTGGTAGATGCGACTGCAGCAACACTATGCAACTGCTAATATTAACACAATAGACTATACACAAACAGAAGTTCTTTCAAACAGGCACAAGACTTTTTCAGACTTAAGTGACTTCACTCTCTTATCCCTTGAAATAAGAAACAGCAAAGATGATTATTATTGATGACACATATCCAGATTCCCAGCACCATATTCAGGGCACTCAACTCTGAATTTCCTCATGCTTTTTGTAAATATTTACCCATCAATATCTTTGTCATCCCGGCTGTCAGAATCTTTGCTGCTACCACCAGGTTGTGCCCTAGAACGCCCCATCTGTAATTTATTTTTTATTATCTTAGTAAATTCCCAAACAATTACCCCCATTTTATGATTCTATCTCAATTTGAGTTTTATGCAAATAATAAAATTAATTTTGAAAGAAAACAACAGATTTGTAATCAGAACTAATATAATTTCAAGCAAATTTAATATGACACATACAACAGCTTACTTAGTGGCTAATTATATTGCTTACTCTAAGAAATGCTTTAGGAATTATTTTATAATTTTTTCAGAATAATGCGTTTAACAATCACAAGAAAACTCACTTTGGCTGAGGACATTTTAATTTATAAAAAAGAAAGAAAAAATGCTATTCATTTTGCAAACCTAACCTTTTTTTTAGTGGGATTCAAAGAATCATTTGAAGTTTCATCGCTGTCCCTTTGACGTTTGTTGGTCATTGCATCATCCTTCTCATTGTCTCCAGATCTCCCAGATTCTGCAGTATTATCTTCTTTAGTTAATTTTTTACTACTTTTTGCCCTTGTCAAAATATCTTCTTCTGAATCAGATGATGAATTTTTAGTTACATCATTTTCTTTCTTTTTTTTCTCATCATCAGAACTAGATATGCCTTTGAGCAGAGAATCTTTAATTTCTTTCAGGGCATTTTTCAACTGTTCGTCTTCAGTGTCAGAGCTAGAGGAGTATGTGAGTAACATTTTTTTTGCATGCATGCTCTCCATTATGTGTTTTCTCTTAGATTTTGGTTTTCCTTCTTTGCCTTTTTTCCTTTCACTTTTCGACATTTCCAGCTCATTGTTTTGTTCTTTATCTTGTGATAATTCTTTGTTTTGTAACTCTACTTCTTTTTGACACTGAGAATTATCTGGCTCACAACTATTTTGTTCATCAGCAACATCCTGGTTATTTTTTGGAGATTTATCTTTGTGAACTTTGTCTGAATCTGCAGCTTCATGGTTATCAGAATCTGATTCATTAAGTAAAGTACTTTTGATCTTAGAAAAATCTTCAAGTAATTTAGTTTTAGCCTTATTTTTTACATTAATGCTTTCATTTTCTTTTTGGTTTTTATCTGAATCAGAATCATTCAAGAGGACGTTTTTTATTTGGTCTTGATCCTGACTTCTTCTGTTTATACCTTCATTTTCTTTTTCAGTTCTTTTTTCTGCATCAGAGTCATTTAGCAAGGCATTTTTAACATTCTCAGTTAGTTCAGTTATTGGTAGTGGAGATGGTGATTTATTACCAACATCAGATTTCTCAGATTCGGAATCATCCAGAAGAGCACTTTTTGCTACATTCAAATTGTCTGGTGAAGCCTCTTTGCTCCTAGAATTTTGGTCTTCTTCAGACTGGTTATTTACAATTAATACAGAATTTTCAGTCAATCCTTTTTCTTTTATCAATTCACAAACTATTCTTTCATTTTGAGTAATTTTTATCAAATTATGCATTTGTAAAAAATTTTGAGACAGTTCAGGTAGTCTAGTTATTTTAATACTAAAATTTTTAGGTACAAAGCTACTAACTTCTTTTCTTTTCTGCATGCAATAGTCATCATCCTTTTTGGATGGTACTTTTGATAGATATCTATCTATTTTATTATTGTTCCCTTGTTTTGAATTTTGTTTATTTTTAGTATTCTGATTGTTTTCAGAACTCTTCTCACTAATCCCAACAATCTTGGATTTAGTATTCTCCTGGGGTGCATTTTTTTCTAAAATGTCTGGTTTCAGCAATTTAGTAAGACTAACACACTTTATCAATGGTTTTACAGGTTCAGTCTGAGGAGTGTTTTCTATGTTATCGGAATTAATTTGGCTTTCTTCTTCTGATTTTTTGTTGTCATCAGTTTCACTATCTGAATCATTTAATTTTCTTTTTTTAGACTTGTGCAACTGTAATGTACTGTCATTGTTCTCACAATTTTCTACAGACTCGTTATTATCATTGCCTTGAACATCTGGTACTTTAATTCTAGAAGTTAGATCATTACTATTTTCAGAACTATCATCATCTATTATTCTAATATTTCTGAATTTAGTTTTGCCATATTTTGATGATTTCTTTGGGATTTCATCATCATCATCATCTTCTTTAGCTTTGCTCTTTGACTCTAAAGATTTTTCTGTGTCATGTTTCATTTCAGAATTTTTTGAGCTGTCATCTTTGGATTTTCGCTTGTCCTCTGAGGAATGTCTTTTGTCTCTTGATTCCATTCCATTTTTTGAACTAGCTTCTTCACTGCTAGATTTTTTATGAGACTCAGAAGTTCGCCTACTTTTATTTATTTTGCCTTCTAAAGACTGTCTTTTGTCTCTTGAATCTAATTTTTTTGAAGGATCACTTTTAGCTTTTTCGGGTGATTGCTTTTTGTTTTTTGCTTTGTCCTCTAAAGACTGTCTTCTGTCTTTTGATTCCAACTTCTCTGAACTTCTTTCCTCATTTTTTGATTTTCCATCTGACTCAGATGATAGTCTTTTGTCCTTTCCATCAGATTTTTTTGAAATGGAATCATTTTTTGATTTCTTACAAACACCTGATGATTCACTTTTTCCCCTGTCTTTAAAATTACTTCCGTCATTATCTTCGGTTTCAGAATTGGACTTTGAAGTTTGTTTATCATGCAATTTAGATTCTATTCTATTTTCTTTTGTATCAGATTCTAATTTAAGACCTTCCTTTGTTGTTTTTGAATGCATGTCTTCAGTCTTATCTCTCTCAACCAATGCGTCAGATTTCCTTTTAGTATTTTCATTATTTTCTGTAGATTGTTTTCTTTTCCTTCTTCTATACAACTTGCAATCATAGTAAACCGGATACCTATCTTGCATCGACCGGGGCATTTTTCGCGCCATAACCTTCACTGACATGTAATGTTTTAATGGAACTTGTTTCGCTATCCTTAGTTTGCGTGAGCGGTATTTAAAGTACTGGTACTTCGCTTCTGGTTCAGCAACTGCTGGAGCTGGAGACACCGCATCTACGCCTATGCTGGACTGACTATCGTTCACCATCGACAGCACTTTTCTAACGCCAACTTCCACATTTTCTAAGGACTTTTTTGACAATTGACATATCAGGAGAACTTTGTCCGCTGCTTTCTGTACAGCATGGAAATTCTTGAGCTTCTCTTTCCGTATTCTTTTCTCTTTCAAGTTTTCAGACCGGGCCCTCAGATTAGACCCCAGTTTCGACAAATATTCCATTGCTTCACATAATACATCACAAACGGGCACTTCGTCCGCCATTTTACAATTATCTTGCGACTATACAATTTAGATTGCATAAATCTCTAAACGTGGTAAAAATGTAACAGTATTTTGAGGTTTACAACAATATTTGCGAAATAATTCTCATTTCTGTACACAAAAACGCTAACACGCCACTAACCAAAAATAGAAATAAAAATCCATAGACAATCTACGTTTCTTTTCCTGAATTTTGGGCGCACAATATTTTTCCGATCGCTGTTATTTGATAAAAATAAGACCAAAATAATTTAGACAAAACAAAATTACATATCAATTGTTTATTAAAATATTATAACAATCGTGAACTACTGAATAAGCGATTATAAATTATTCTTTGAGAGCTAATATCCTAAAATTACGTTGAAAGGAACGCAATCGTAGACCCCTGACCTATTCAACTCAATCGGATTATACTCGTATACATAAATATAATGCACAAAATAGCGGCAAATAAATAGGTATATAGATGTACTACAACATATAGCTACGATGTATGCATAATTTCTCACTATCTTCTAACATAAAACTAACGAAGCATGCCATCTGTAATTGAACATTAATGTTTCTCTCAGTTTTCCTGTAGCAGAGAAACACAGCATTTTACAAAAATTAAAAAAAACAAGAGGTACCAATTTTTTGTACTCACCTTTCATGTAAATGGCTGAACAAGCGTTTTAGTGATTTCCTTCGCACTTACGGCTTTAACTGAGATTGTAACTCATTATTGCACGTTAAACTAATAAATAGTCAATAAATCATACACATAATTCCACTTCTACTCCGAAAATTCGGCGAAATAAGCAAGGTAGGTAAACTATCCAAAACAGTCGTGAAAAAGAACCATAGACTAAAGAGAAGTAGTACTGTATTTCTAGTGTGAGCAAATAGATGGCGAGCAAGGAGAAGCTAAGTAACGATCCGTGAGGTTCATAATTTTTTTATCAGCTGAAGAATAATTAATGAAGTCTTCTTGTCTATTCAAGAAAATCATAGGCATGAATAAAATTTACTTACGTAAGACTATTTTATGGCAGAAATTAAATAGTATAATAATCAAGTAATGGATTTCTAAGCGAATAAACAGTTATGCAAATCAGAAGAAAATTAATACTATAGAAAGTTCTATTCTCCAGATATTTAAATTACGCAGCTTTATATTTAAACATCCGAAAAACATTTTACAATAAATTTTGGCGGAATTTTATGAATCTTGGTTCTAAAATTGTTTTTGGTTCCGGTAAAAAAAAGTAAAAAATACAGCTGATATGTCAAGAATGTCATCAAATGTCATTTGGTTGACAGAAAAAAATATTAATTTGATTGATTTTGTTCACTTGTTGGTTGGTGATTGTGTAACATTAAAATAATGCTATCGAGGATTACTTTACGATGCAACAAGCTATGCGTGTTGCCAAGATTTTATAGCGAGGGAGTTGGTCAAAATCAGGGACCAGCTGCGCCATCTAAACCTGCTGCGGCACAAGTGCCATCTGATGTTCCTGGACTTAGCAGCAATGTTGTCCATCCTGCATCCCAGCCCGTCGGTCCTGGAGTTGACCCAAGCAAGAGTGGAGCCTACAAAGTCCCCGAATACTTCTGCTATGACAATATGAGCTTTTTTGAAGCTGAAATTGAGATGTCCAAGTTCAGATTACCGCAACCATCCGCTCTCAAAAAGCAATGAATGAATTCTATTGTACTGCATTAGTTTATTGTTAATTAGTGACTGTAATAAATTAAATTGTTTGTATCTTGTTTTTAATTTTGCAATCTAATATGATAGGAACAACATTATACATACATATTGTAGACGTAAATACTACTATCCCATTACTTCTCAACCAAGCCTGTAAGATGTAAACAACAATGATTCTCTAATTGGAAAATTAGTGTGATGCAATTAAATTTTATATGATTCATCAAGCTATTGACTTACATGTATTTCTTTTCAATGACGGGTATTGAAATAAAATAGTGATGTTTTAATTAGATGTTTTATTTAAATCATCTGATTCCCATACACTCTATAGACCTACAACTAAATAACATAAAATGCAACATTAAGGGTAAATAGCATAATTATGTACTTCGCTTTTTACAATTTGTGAAATGCTCGAAACACAGACAATGCTAAACTGCAACTGAAGAGGCACCACTGATTATTACAGCAGCTTCTTGCTCGGTCAGAGTGGTTACCGCTTCAATGCCATCAACACACTCTACCGAGGCTGATTGTTACTTCTTCTTAGTCAGTTTCTCTGAGAGGTCGTCGAAGGTGGGGTCTTGAAGGTTGATCATCAGGCTGTTGCCAGGAAGGAAGACACGGTTCTGAGATTGAGCAATCATTCTGGAGATACTCTGAGCGGCGCGGATCTTACGCAGTTTCAGGTACCCAGGGTTCATGCCCATGGCTTTACCCAACATCTCAGCAGCTTCGGCTTCTCCCTCAGCCTGGACGATCTTCTGTTGACGCTCCTGCTTTGCTCTTTCCACAACAAAAGCAGCACGCTGAGCCTCTTGTTGGGCCACCTGCTTCGCTTCAACAGCAGCAGTGTATTCTTTACCGAAACTCAACTCTGTGAGAGAAACATCATCAAGAATGATGTTGAAATCAGCAGCCCGTTCGACAAGCTCACGCCTAATCAGCAAGGAGACCTGTTGACGTTGTGTGATGAGCTGTGAGGCATTGAATTTGGCAACAACTGATTTTAGAACTTCATTGCAAATGGAAGGTAAAACTTTTTCATCGTAATCCGTTCCGAGCTGACGATACATGACGGGCAGATGACTAGCATCAGGGCGCGACAGCACTCGTAGAGAAATGTTGACCATTTGTAAATCTTTGGATCCGGTCGGTGATGAAATCTTGCGGGGTCGTGATCTAATATCGTAAATGATGGGGTATTGGAACCAAGGTATGCGGAAATGAAGACCTTCGCTCATGACGATTTGCTGCACGCCGCCAATCCTGTTGAACATTATGGCACGGTGACCACCCTCGACGGTAAACAACGATTGCGAGACTCCATAGGCCGCCGCACCAACCACTGCTACAAGTTTCAATCCGATACTTAGCCCAGGTGGCCCACCTTTAGCAAACTTCCCAGCCATGTCGTTCAGCTTGCTTTGAGCCATTATTGATAAACTTTCTAAAAAATGCAATAAAATAACTATTTCAACAGATTTCCCAAAAAGAAATTCTAACCTATTCGATCACAGGCGAATTGTGCAACTACCATAGACAAAAAGATAATAAAAAAAATTAAGAGTGAAAAAAGAAGGAAGTTTATTTTGACTATGGTTGGTCATAGATGAGGGAACCACAAAAAAGGATTCAGTAGATGATGCCGTCTCCACTTTATACGGCCACGCTCGAAGCTCTCATTGCACATGATTGCACATTATGTCCGTGTCCACTCCGCTTTAAAATCATAGACAAACTGCAGTGAAATTATTTGACGTTTTCGTTTTTGACATCTGCCTTCCCAAGCAGCAGTGATGTCTGTTTTCGTCTGAAAAGTGAAAAATATATAAATATTTACTTCTTTGTTCTCTCATTAAGTTTCTTACTTGAATATATTACGTAAATAGAGAGTGTTATTTCGAGAAAGTTATCATTTTCACCGTCATAAGCCATGGATTCATGCATCGGTGTGGAACAAGATTTGGACAAAGCTTTATCTAAATTTACCTCTCTAAATGACCACACAGACAAGGTTTTAGAAGATATTATTGGTCAGGTTGAGAATCTAAAGAAGGAAATTGCTAAACGTGAGTATTTTCTTCCCCTTGACAATGTTTTTCATAATAATTGACTTTCTCTTTGTTTCTATTGCCATACATCTTTGCGCCTTTCGGTCAGGCTAATGGCAGCACTAAATACTTTCATTCTATCGTATGTGCTTGTTTTTATCATATCAGTGCAATAGCACAATACTGGCTAATCATAAAAGACTACTTTCTCTTCATTGTTATCAAGAAAGCAAATTAACATTGAAAGTACTTGAACTATTTATATCCCGCGTGTTAATGTGACTTTTTAATGTATGCAATTAGCAATTACCTTAAACCTGATTATGTTGTAAATTTAAAATTTTAAATAAACACCAGGGTAAACTTCCAGTCATTGGATAATATTTAAAGGCCATATTTTTTATTGGATTAAAAAATACCATGTTTATTTCAACAACTAAGATTTTTTAGACTTTTCTGCAATTTGTTCCTTGAACATCCATAATGAAATAATATTCATTAAGGATGTTCATTGAGGGGTGTTTTGTCAGTCACTGATAGTGTCTGGCTGGATATTTACCCTATTTCAAATTCTGATAGCCATCAATAGTTTGATCATAAAATAAATTAATTGTAGTATACTTCTACTATCAAGTTTCTACATTTCTAGAGGGACCAAATGCACCTTTGACACAAACACAAGCCATGGTCGCCAGTGAATTAGCTGCGCGGGTCAAACAGACTGTCTTCCAGATGTCTACAGGTGAGTCAACATGTAATCAGTTACTTTTATTTCACTCTTTTAGACTCTGGACATAATTTATTTTTGTTTTCTTCTAAATGAAGAATTTTGATAGCTTTCTTTCAAGTTTGTTCATAACTTATGGTATTTTTTTTTTACTAGAGTGATAGATACCTATCTATGGCATGATTTTGCACAAATTATAGCTATCTATGATTAAAATAAACAGTAGAGCCAGTTTTCTACAAACTAAATTAGGAATTCTAACTGTAAAAAACACAGGACTATAATAACGTAATGTATTTGTTATCAGAACACAGAGAGCTGCATGCCACAGTGTCACGTGTTGGCAAGTCGATCGACCGACACTTCATCGCTGATTACGGTTCAGTTGCACCGAAAGCTGAGTCATTCTGCACGGACACAAACAGACCTATAATGGAGCAAGCCATTGCCCAACATTTGTACAGACAGGTAGATTACATTTCTACAGTAGGTTTTAAAATTAGAATTTAGTAAGTGTAAACTTACTCCTACCAACTTCATAGTCAGATTAGTGAGTTGTTCTACTATGGTCTCACTCCCTTGTCTGCCAGAAGCACTCATTGCACTGACTGGTATTGCCGACTATAAAATGAAAAAAGTTTTCAAGGTCTTTGTACTTTTGGTATTTATGTTCCCAGTTGATATTTAACCAGAAAAAAAAATACCGCACAATAAAACAAAAAACAACATTTCTTGGCCAAATTCAGAACTAATTCTAACAAAGATTTAAACATCTTCAGGGCTTAGAAGACGTAGGCGACGCGTTTGTAGAAGAAGCCAAGATTCCCGGCGTGGAGCGCACTTGTACTTTTGCGGCGCTGCAGCGCTGCGCTGCGGCGCTTGCGGCCGGCGACCCGCTGCCCGCGCTGCAGTGGGCCGAGAAACGCGCTCACGATCTAACACACTCCCCGCTGCCGTTCACGCTGCATAGGATGCAGGCACTCAAGGTAACACGATTATGTATGTGCAATATGATAGACGTAGGTGGCGCGTTCGTAGAAGAAGCCAAGATTCCAGGCGTGGAGCGCACTTGTACTTTTGCGGCGCTGCAGCGCTGAAATGAGTGTCAGTGGCGTAATTATACCATCTGAGGCCCGTGGCAAATTCTGTGCATGGGGCCCTTGGCGTATCTAGGCCTATTTTTCATGGAGACCCTGATTAGGGACTTGAGCCGCGATCCCCTCGGGTCGGGAGCCGGTGGCATTTTGCCAGCCCTGCCACCCTATAGTTACGCCTAAGTGTGTTTATTGCCGGCGACCCGCTGCCCGCACTGCAGTGGGCCGAGAAACGCGCTCACGATCTAACACACTCGCCGCTGCCGTTCACGCTGCATAGGATGCAGGCGCTCAAGGTAAGGAGATCATATTATATATTCCAACAATCCTGCACTGTGTTTATGACCATGACAACTCTGCACAAGTTGTGCTGCAGTGGGCCGAGAAACGATTTGACGTACTCCCCGCTGTGCTGCCGTTCAAGGTAGAGAAATAATTTCAAGTCCTACATCATGATGGTTCTGTACAGGCTCTACAGGCTGACTTAGTGTAAAGTGTAATTCATGTATTTGTCCATGTTATTCTGTTGTAGCTATGCTGAGTTTAAACTATGTTATTCCTGAGTGTGTTTGGCGCAAAGTTTTAACTACCAGGATGTTACCATTTTATGGCGTAACATTACAATATGTTGGTGGCGTAGCGTGAATTTGACAGCCCCGAATAAGTTGTCATTAAGCATCAATCCATACGTCGCGTTTTGGACAGGACTAATTTGTGTCTGAATAATGATACATGACTATGATATGAGACAAGGATCCTTGATCCCTTTAAGGAGGCCCTTTCCATTAAATAAAGGTAGTTAATCCGGCTTTAGAGGCCCTTTATAATGGCATGTATTTAAATATCTTTTTAAATTAGCTAAAACGGCAAATAAAAAAATCTAAATGGTCATCTATTTTAATGATTGATCCTCTTTCTTTGAGACATAAAATAAATGAAATCGATCGATATTTTAACCTCTTTTGAACTACGCAAAAAAATTTTGATATGTAGAAATTATATCTGATCGTTACTTGTTGGTCCTCAAAAATAAGAGAAATGAGCACCAAATATTCAATATTGTGATTTGTATAATTTTTTTTTGTCTATATCAAATAATCTTCAAAATAATTATGTTATGGTACTTATTTTTATTAAATTGTAGTCAAAGGATGGAAACTATTTAAAGACACTTGATGTTCAAAGATTTATTTTTTATTAAAAAAGCATACTTAACACGTTCACACTGCGTTATCGGGTCGAATTGACCTTAGGTGCTGGATGCGTTGGTGCGGGATGGATATATTAGGTCTTTTCAGTAGTACGAAAGATAAATATTGTTTTGCAATTTTTTCGTCAAACACAGTAAATATTTAGAAAAAAAACTTATCAGGTCCTTACGACCTGATGTCGCACTAAAAGTAAAAAAAATATCGTTTAGTGCTTTTATCGGGTCTAATCGACCCGTTGACAGATGACTCTATGGTCACTGATCACGTTTGAGATCGGTATACTAAGAGAAAATCAACCTTGCGATTTGAAAAAAAAAATAATGAAGTAAAAATTATGATGTAGGGTTCAGGGATGCCAGAAGTATAAAATTATTTTACATAGCGCCTCTAGTCCCAAACTAAGCAAAGCTTGTAATTTAACCCTTAACACCACNATTTGTTAGCATTTTCTGGGTATTTTATGTATTTTTTCAGTATCGCCTGTTATTTAGCACTATTACTGTTTTTATTTTATCAGGATATACCGCTTAGTTTAAAAGTTATTACGTTTTCTTTACAATAAGTAATTGGAAGAAAAAAAATTCTATAAAAAATTAAAAAAAAATCTCAAAAAATTTTTGACCTCTTTTTTGTCGATAAAAATAGGTCTAGTTTTATCTATTTTCATATGTACACTTTAACGTGACTCACACTGTATTTTAAAGTTAAGTTATACTTAGATCGAAATGTATTTATTAGGTGATCAATATTAAAAGGCAAACTTGATATAAAAATCATCAAATTAACAAAATTAAAGATCAGATATTATTTTTGTTTACTAAATATTAAAAGAGTATGTTAAACATAAATATTATGTTACCTTAAATGAAGATCATTCATAATTTATCCGTAGATCAACTAATATAGACCCAATAATTAATATAAAGATAAAATATAATAAAACACATCATATAATTTTAAAAGTGCACATACAAAAAAGATCAATTAGTTTTTAGAGGATCAAATAATATTGTCCCCTTTACAATTACGGCGGTAGCTACGCCCCTAATCAACCTACTTCCATTATTCCCAGCTGGCCCGCGAGCAAGGCGTGGTAGCCGCGATCGAGTACGCGCGCGCGTCGTTCCCGGCGCACGCGGCGCGCCACGAGCGGCAGCTGCAGGCGTGCGTGTGCGCGCTGGCCTGGTGCACGCCGCACGCGCCGCCCGCGCCGCGCAACTACCGCCACCTGCTCGACCCACAGGCGCTCGGTGAGTGTTGGCGTTGCTGGGAGATGTGTGCGGGACAGGCTCCGGCCCGCTCCAGGGACATCACTCGCCACGAGCGGCAGCTGCTGGCCTACTAACTACCGCCACCTGCTCGACCCGCAGGCGCTCGGTGAGTATTAGCGTTGCTAGGAGAGATGTGTGCGGGACAGGCTCCGGCCCGCTCCAGGGACATCACTCGCCACGAGCGGCAGCTGCAGGCGTGTAGTATCCCACTAGATAAACTATACGTCGAAATGCCCAAAATAACAGCAAGTTCCCAAGAAGTAACAGTAAAAAGAGTTTGGGAAGCTCTGGTTCCCAAACTTTTTTGGTGAATGGTTCAGTCTGACTGAATAGGGTATGCAGACAGGAATTTTCTGTATGGTGAAACTATTAATAAAAATTTATCTTATGGGCATAATAATATGTTGACGAGTCGATCTCTATCGGTAGCGGCATTGTAGAAATGGCGAGCGCTGTACGCGGAATCGAGCCGGACCGAATAAAAACCGGCTCATCAACGCCCTAAGTTGCGGCACCGCACTGCAATATCAATGAGGGCTATCGTTTTTATATTTAACAGTTGGCACCCCTGGCGATTGACAAGACCTTACTTTACAGTGGCGCCGTCTTGATGAGTGCAAATGCGATAGTCCTCCTACCACTTTAGCGCTCACAAGTTGGCGCCACTGTCTTCGCTACTAGCAAGTGACAGGACCTTACTCTACAGTGGCGCTAACTGGTGAGCGCTAAAACGATAGCCCTCATTAAATGAGTGTTTTTTGTCCAGGCGCGGAAGCAGCGGAGTTATTCATCCGCGAGGCGTGCGCGTTACTCCGCTTAGCGCCGCTGTCGGCGCTGGCGGGCGGCGTGCTGGCGGGCGCGCGCGTGCTGCCCGCGCTGCACGACATCCGCGCCAAGATGACGCACCCGCACGTCATCGCCGCCTGGGCCGACGACCACCTGCCGCTTGAGGTATGCCCGAGTCCGAAGCCTGAGTGGTTACTGACCAAATGTCTACTGCTCCGCCCGAGTCCTGTTAGCCGGCGTATACTGTAACCGGTGGTTACACATCATATTATGCCTACTGCTCCGCCTGACTCCCGTTGGCATGCGTGTATACTGTACTGTAACCGGTGGTTACTAACCGTATACCTACTGCAGATTAGCAGAGTCCACACCAGATGATCCAACGCGTTCCAATATTATGTGTCACCTTTTATGGACGAAAATGTTTTAATGTTCGTTCATTTACCTGTAATTTATATCAATCAATGTCCAAGACTGATCGAGCACAAACTTTTAAGTTTGTGAAATTATTAATTAAAAAAAAAATCAGAGGTGGAATTGTGTAAAGCAATCGTAATCATTGGACAGTTCATAACGTACGATTATTCTGTCAAACGCTTTGTATAACTGACTTTATCGTACCTACGTTATGTACTGTCAAATGATTAAGATTGTTTTACACAATTCCACCTCTGATAACAAAATAGTAATGTGCGCCAGTAGCTTATTTTTACGTATTTACTTATTTAAGCGACCTTTACAATTTGATGGGTTAAATCTACAATTCAATTGCCGGTATACTTTGCCATTTGCCACCCTAGGCTCCAGCCTCATTACTAGTTGCAAGCCCACTGGTAAATCTACCGCTATAATTGTGACGTTTTGTTATTAACTTGATCGTCATATCCAGGTTGACCTGGGCGAGGACGGCGGCGGCTACCACTCGGTATTCGCGTGCCCCATCCTGCGGCAGCAGGCGTCTGAGCAGAACCCGCCCATGCGGCTGCTGTGCGGACACGTCATCTCCCGCGACGCGCTCAATAAGCTCGCCATGGGTGCCAAGTCAGTACACAATATACATTATATAGCCCGACCAGGAACATAAAAACCCTCGCCATGTTGCGGAAAAACTAATGGTACTAATTTCTTTTAATGGCAACAGTAACTGAAAACTTCATTGACATGTCACCTTGCATGTCAGTCTATTGCTGTCAAAGTTTTTTTAAATGTGCGCAATTGATTTTGTGAATTAAGTTGCTAAAATCTTTTCATAGTCGTGAAAGAAAAGTGGTTCACAATGTGTTAAAGTATTTGTCGGAGAGAAATACTAAGGGTTCGGACAATATTTTCATTGAATAATGTTTCCGACAAAGGTTGTCAAATTGACTGACATGTTTATCGTATAGTACAGTCCACTATAAAAAATTAGCTGTGGTTTGTTTCAACTACCTATTTTTTTTTTTTGTCACTTTCTAAGTGTTGAATTTTATGGAATTGAATCTCCACCTGCGATCGTAGTAAACACCTCAACATAACTTCCAGAAGTTTATCATATTTTTCAAAGTTCTTTGTTTTCCAGATTGAAATGCCCCTACTGCCCCATGGAGCAGGCGCCCGCAGAGGCGAGGCAGATATACTTCTCTTGAAGCAACGAACCCAACAAGTCAAGTCTTTCCGATATTCAAATATGTAACGTAAACTTTAAACATGATAAGCTAGCAGATTCATATAGATGACGGACGGACGCTCGTACCGTTCTATGCAGATATTCTATAGATGTTTAACTCAATGTTATTGTAAGATAAATATTATCACTGTATATTTACTGAGGCCTGTAGCGGCGTCTATTTTGTTCTTTTTGTAATAAAATGAAACAGTATTATGTTGTTTACTTTATTTACAATCCCTATTATTTATATTAGATGTTTAGCTCTGACCATAATGCACGGTTCACGTTTGGCCAGTTGTCAATTAACTTGGTTATCATAATATTATGGAGTGTTGGTATTGGTAATTTTAATATCAAAACACATTTTGATCCTCAGTACATAATTTATTTAATGGATATGTACAAAGACAAAAGATTTTTAGGACAAATAAAAATTTGGCAATAACTTTCAACAATAGCAATAAAGAGTGGTGTCGTTTTAAAAGCCGGCAAAATATCAACAACAACAATATTTTTATACTTAAACATAGGTCGGACATACCAATACAGCTAGTTTAGCAAGTAGTGACTCTACCACCACAACAAAATCTACAACGTCCATACCAAAGTACGGAACGTCGATCTTAATATTGTTTATGTTGGTAGTAGTAAAGTCACTGCTTATAAAACGATAAATCCAAACACAAATACAATATCTTCAGACATGCTGTTCGAAGTTTCGTTTTATAAGATAAGAATATTAAATAATAACAGCATTATTAACCTAAAATAAATTAATCAATAAAAATATTATATTCCCGACAGTAAAAGTGAGGCGTAACAATTTTAATATCATACTGATATAACTTTAAAGAAGCTTTTTGGATTTATAGAAACATTCGCCGCTGTTATGAGTCGTTTATGTCTCCAAAATTCAGTTTAGAACAGCGCTTAGTAAATAAACTGTGATTATCACACAATTATATCATATAGCATCTACCAGCAAAGTACTACAATTAGGTACTAATTATTGCTGTAAATTTTCATCTACATTATTATACCACCGAAAGAAAGGCTAGTGTATACAGCCGAAGAAAAATATCCACTGGAATAGCATTTTAACTTATTGGAATCTAGGAATTTTGCTTGGACATTATTATTAATTTACAGCGGCAAGCGATCGTTGTGCACCATAATTATTATGTGGAACTAGTAGCGTAACACTGTCAATACTTTCAAATGATATTTTTCTTTGGCCGTCTAAACCTACAAGAAAACAATAAGAGTAAGATGGAAGACGCTCCTAAATACAGCAAAAATGTATGTATTTTCATAATTTAGCATTATATTTATCATAATATCACTTATATCCTAATGTAACTATGTGTTACATAATATATTTCATTTATCATCATATAAATACACCCATATTACTGGTATTTGAATCTGTATGCTACACGGTAATATTTTCTTTGTAACATTTGGCACACATCTACCTTCCCTTTGCCTACAAGAATACCACGTAAACAAAAGTGAAATCATTTACGAAATCCTTTCTATTTAGGTACTCTGAGTACATACAGTTAGTAAGATAATCTGGCAATAATATTACTTAAAGTTAAAATATAAGTGCCCATTTATATTATGCTCAATTTAATATGCAATAATATTCTATAGAAGCCATGTTCTAATAATGATTTACTTTAATTAATGATTTATATTAAAGCAACAATTATTTTAAAAGAAAACAACTAAAACAAGATTTATTTGGTTTTAAAGAAATGCACCCTATTTAAAAGCAGTTATGTATGATACATGTTAATTCCATAGATAGAGGTACATTTAAAATGGGAACAATATTTCCTGGTTTTAGAAAATAAAAATATAAATTGCATTAATAAATAATATTGCTTCATCACAAATCAGTCATCATATCAGTCTAACATTAACTACGCTTTATGTTACCCAAGATATTTACCACATTTACGCGTGAAAATAAAGGGTTCAATTTAAATACATACTACTCAAACCACAGACCGTATGTTCACTAACATTTACTGGATGGTGTTTATTTTGATTTCCATGGTTTAAGAAGTATCGAGGTGCCGAAAAAGCGGGATTGAAGTTTCCAATAAGTATTACCGTCGAGCTAGACACAAATCTTATCACATAGACACTACTTGGTGTATTCTTTCAAGGCTCTCGTTGACTACCGGGTTCAACCGACTACAAACACAATAAGTGTGCATATTTTTTGTAATACTTAATCTAAATAAAATATGCTGTCACATAGTGAAGTGTTTGTATTGGTCATCCCCGGCAGTCACCAAACATATTACTTTTCAATCATTCCTTCCTTAGTTTGCTAACACATTTTAATGATAGAATAGAAGCATAATTTACAGTAGGCACTTGAGAGAAAACCACCTCGTATTGATGCACGCCATCAACATTCATATTTAAACGCTCACATACATTTATAGTTTTGAGTATAAATTGCTTTCGTTTGATAATATGGGAAACTAAGTTTATCAAAAGTAATTTTAATCTATTTTAATATAGACAGCACAAGGAGGTAACTTTCTATGAGGGAACCTACTCGTCTAGATCGAAAATTAATTACTTAAAACTATTAAAGACAAAAGGAAATTTTACTACTGTTAGGCGAATGCCATCAGTTATTATTCTACACCTAAATTGGTAACAGACCGAATGATTTAGCATTTCGGAGGGCACGGTAAGCTATCGGTCTCGGTGAGTGGACAGAGCCACGTCTATCTCCAATAGTGGGGTACTGAACTACTGACCACTTTCGGTTTAGCTCGAGGCAGCAGCTGCAAGCATCAAAATTTCACTGTCTGTTACTAATTCGTGGTTTGTGATAAATATTAATTGAACTGTATACATAATATTCTGTTTATTGTAAGCGATTGAATGAAGATCACTCGTTTGAACACAAAATACGGTTTACTTACGGCTAGTGCGACTATTGACTAAATATATTTCATTTATATAACTTTTGTATCACTTTAAAGAAAGAAGTTCAAATAAGTAAAGTACATTTGATCGCCCTGTATACAGCATTGTATTGTATATTTATGTTCAGATCATACATACATAAAAGGTTATATTAATATATGTATTATACACTATATTGCTCAGTTTACAATCAAGATAAAATCTTTACATAATTATTACAATTATTAGATAATGTTTGATTAATAAATAAAACAGTAGGCGAAGCAAAATAAATAAGTTGAATTGAAACTTAAAACTAAGGTGTACCATATTTCCATCATATAATTTTACTATTTAGCGCTATTACATGAGGCATTCTTACCAAGAAATGGTGTTGATAAGATTTGTAATAACATCGATGGGAATATGGCGCCACAAATATATTACTCTTAGTAATATTGTTAGAAACATTTCTCTTATTATGATCGACTGACTAATCGTAACAGGGAACCTAAATGCATTTAGGGAGTACTATCCACCTATTTTGATTGTTTTAAATAATATTCCATACTATATAGTATCACATCTATCACTATGTAGTCACTACTATTAAATATTATCATAATAATTTAATCCGTAATTACACTAGGCGACCCGAATCCAGAAACAAAGATGTTACGTGATGTTGATTCAAGGGCAATGGTAAGAAGGGGTCTAAAGATATTCTTTAGCGAACTTTCATCCATTTAGCTCGATCTACCTAAAATATCAGTAAACATATATGTAAGTCACCGAAATTGATTATGGATTGTCTTAAATGGACTAGAGTATGGTAAACATTTTTTGTCTACATATTGCGACAATAGACATAATAAAAATTCTTCATCAACAAATTTTGAATTGAAAACGTTTAGTCGTTCTTTGAACTTATGCTAACAAGTAATCATGGGACCTTAATAGGGCTTTGCCCTAGTAACGCCCCAGGTTTTCTTCGAGAAATGTCGATTACATCCACAAGGTAACTTAAATATTAATTTTGATACTCTTAAAAGCAACAGTTTGAGCAGAAAACGCAAGAGTAATACGTATTTACAGCTACATCATAATTCTTCTCGACCCGCAACCCTTTCCATAGTATACACTAAGTAGTATTAAATAATACAATCATATTCACTTCCAATTAGAATCGACACACAAAAACACTTAAACTAGAAATTAGACTAACGTCTTTGTCGCGAATAAATTATCACGATTTGCCTATAGAGGTATACGAAGTTAGACGCGTGGTGAAGTTGTAGAAAATGTGGCAAAGCGCGAGATGACATTTACCAAAGGCCAGTGATCGCAAAGAGGTTAGCTTTCGGATAATGACGTCACAGGAAAAAGAGCTAGGCATAAAACAAGTGTGGAGAATTGGAGTCTGGATTGACGTCAATCGGATGATTTGTGACGACACATGATTGCGTTGTGAAGTGAAGTTCCTTCACCTCCCGCTACCTAGATATGTTTGAAGAAATCACACGCGAGACCTGTAATTAAATGAAGTTGCACTCAACGAGCTCCAGTTGTTCTTTTTTGGGATTGTGGGGTTCCGGGGCGCGTAACTCAACTGTTTTTTGGAATTAATGATGACGCATCCATCTTTTGGCGCGTAAGAGACTTGTGTAGTCGGGACTGCGATACTTAGCAAATTTCCTGGTGCTGGTACTTCAATATCTACGCTAGAGGATAGTCCCTTTGTCTGAGTGTTGTCGCAGCCATATTGAGAATGAGTCACTGGTTCCGTTTGAGTATTCATATCACGCCTGGTCGGAGAAAGCTTAGTGAATGATTTCGGTGGGGAGTTAATGGTACAGGCGGCATTTGGTTTAGGTATGTAGTTCAGCTGATTTACTGCGGGTGTAAACACGTTTGATGGCGGTATAACAGCATTATTACATCCTGAATTAGACGTGTACGTCACTTTAGGCTGAGAAACAAGGAAGTCAAATGAATTTTGATATGATGCGTTATCATATGTCGCAGGAGCGTAAATTTTTTTGGGAGTGGGGTTTACTTTATCGCAGTTATTTCCAGTAAAGAACGCCATTTGTTTCACTGGTGCAGGATTACTGGTTACAGTTGAAGTGAACATTTGTTTATTTAGGGAGGCATCGCAATAGCTACGAGATAGGTTGATCGGCGTCGGTTTTACCAGGGAGATATTACGAGGTGCGAATGGTATCCTTTTTGGTAGAGCATCGCTGACTGTATTGGTGACGTGCGTCGTCAGTTTCCCTGAAACGTCACATCGTGGTATCTTTTGAGGAATTTCTGCGGCACAGTGGTCACTAGCGGGTCGTTTAGGTTTGTTTAGCAGAGAAGTCATATTATTTATCGGGACATAACTATGGCTACCAAAGGGAGTTAGTATTTTTGACCCAGGTGTGAGTAGAATTTTTGCGTAATACTTGGTGTTAATGTTTTCAGACGACTCCTTCTGTTTTTCTGTGATGACGTCACGCTGCCTATTCGTTACGGCGCCGTGCCGGCCTTTACACGTGCCCGATGCGTGTGGTGTATGTTTGTGTTTAGCTTTATTATTGTCTGTGTTTCTAGTCTTGTACTGTTTCTTAGGTGTGTTTTTAGTGCTACGCGATTTCTTTTTTTTATCTTTCGCTTTGCGTTTACGCGCGTTAGTTTTAGCATTCTTCTTACTACACTGTGTGTCACTACTCTGTTTTGTTGTGGAGTTTGTTTTTTTGGTTTTGCGACCGCGTTTGCTCTTCTGCCGTTCACTTAGGTTAGAACTGTTCTGGTTAGCGAGCGTAACCTGATTATTCGCGTCGTCACTTGTTTTCTGTGGGCGGAGTTTGCGCGAGCGTTGCGCACGGGGGCGTTTACTGGTTAGGTTAGAACTGTTCTGATTAGCAAGAGTAACCTGATTATTCGCGTCGTCACTTGTTTTCTGTGGGCGGGGCTTGCGCGTGCGTCGCGCGCGTGGCCGTTCACTGTTCAGGTTAGAAGTGTTCTGGTTAGCGAGCGTCACCTCATCAGCGTCGTCACTTGTCTTCTGTGGGCGGGGCTTGCGCGTGCGTTCACTGGTTAGGTTAAAACTGTTCTGCGTCACCTCGTTAGCGTCGTCACTTGTCTTCTGTGGGCGGGGCTTGCGCGTGCGTCGCGCGCGTGGCCGTTCACTGTTCAGGTTAGAAGTGTTCTGGTTAGCGAGCGTCACCTCATCAGCGTCGTCACTTGTCTTCTGTGGGCGGTGCTTGCGCGTGCGTTCACTGGTTAGGTTAAAACTGTTCTGCGTCACCTCATTAGCGTCGTCACTCGTCTTCTGTGGGCGGGGCTTGCGCGTGCGTTCACTGGTTAGGTTAAAACTGTTCTGCGTCATCTCTTTAGCGTCGTCACTTGTTTTCTGTGGGCGGTAGCTGGCTAGCCGCTAGCTGGAGGACGGCGCGAGGCCGGCGAGGTTGAGCAGCGCCTCGGCCGTGCGGCGCTCCTCGCCAACGCTATACGAATGCTCGTCGCGCGCACAGCGGGATATTACCAGGTGCGCCGCTGGCGGCAACTGGAAGGGAAGAAGTATTAGTCAAATCTATATATATAAAAGAAAGTCGTGTTAGTTACTTCGCTTATAACTCAAGAACGGCTGAACCGATTTAGCTGAAAATTGTCAGGGAGGTAGTTTAGAGCCAGGAGAAGGACATAGGATACTTTTTATGCCGTTCGAAATTAAAAAAAAAAAGTTTGCTTATTTATTGCCATTAAGGCGGAACAAAGTTCGCCGGGTCAGCTAGTAAATAAATAAATCTTTGGACAATTTCACACAGCGCCAGCTAGCCCCAAAGTAAGCAACTTACTAACAACAAAACTTAATGCTTGTGTTATGGGTGCTAGCTTAACGGATATACTACTTATATACTTTTTATTTTTAAATACATATACGTATTATACATAGTAACACCCAGACCCGTCACAGAAATTAAAATTCATCATTTCAATTTCTGCCCGGCCGGGAATCGAACCCGGGACCTCTCGGCATAGTAGTCCGCTCTGAACCACTACACCAAACGGCCGACGAAAGAAACGAAAAAGTTAAGTGGTGTGGAAGTGTGAGAAAAAGGACTTGTGATGCGGCGTGGAGACTTGTAGAAATCGCGCTATGTCATAATCTTTCTGCCTTACCAAAGCTTCGCAAAAAAGAGGATAGTCACCTAATCCTGGATCCTGAAGAGGCCTACAACTGCCTCGCTATGTCATCTTTCTACCAAAGGGAGTAATTTACTAACACCATAACGGCGACACGATGCTCGTCGGCTCCGGCGGCCCCTAAATTAAGGGTTTTGTAATAAAGACGGTATTCACCTGATCGAGCACAGCAGGTTCATACTTCATAGCCAGCACCGTAGCGGCGGCGCGATACCCGTCGCGCGTGCAGCCGCCGCGCTATGGCATAAGCTACTTTAACCTGCTAGAACTAAGGTTTTTACCTGATCGAGCACAGCAAGCGGCGGCGACGGTGGCGTGGGCGGCGGGGAAGCTTGCATTCGCCATACTATGTCATAATATTTCTTCCCTAAAGGGGGTATTTACCTGGTTAAGCACAGCAGGACCGTACTACATAGCCACTACAGTAGCGGCGGCGTCAGCATGGGTAACGGAGAAGAAGGCAACCGCCGCGCTGTCATAATATTTTTGCCCTACGGGGGGGGGTAAACTTAGATTAATAAAACCTAGATGGATAGTCTTCATACAAACGCTTCGTCAAGAGTGAGGCAAAAATCTTATGTCATTAGTGTCAATTTTGTTGGGGAGTGTAGACAGTGAAGGCGATTTTCCCGAAAGTAGGGAAATTTTTAATACGTTTTTAATTATTTTATAATTAACAAAAACAAAACGCATCATGTACTTACTTATTTATTGAATTCAAAGTACCTAACTAATTACAATAAGATAAATCGACTTAAAAGTCTCGATTTCATAAAAAAGGAAGTGTATTTGTACGGCGAACAATTGGGAAATAAATTTTCTTGTTACTGGTATCATTCCCGTATTTAATTTTTGAAAGCCAAATTCAAGCAAAATACGCGTCGAATTGTAGTACTTACTTATGAAATGTAACACTGGTCACTTTCTTTCGTTTTTCTGATGTATTTTAGACACCCTTTCGCACAAACCGTTTTAATTAATTAAAATTCGTCGGACGTGTTTGCCAATTTTTCACTTTGACAGTTCATGTGACGTTTACGGGTGAGCCGTGCCGGCTCCCTAAAAACTGCCTCACCTTTCGTGCACTGACTATCTATCTAGGTTTTATTAATCTAAGGGGGTAAACAAATATTTACCTGATCGAGCACAGCAGGCCCATACTTCATAGCCAACACCGTAGCGGCGGCGCGATATTCGTCGGCACCCGGCGGCGGCGGCGGCGTGGGCGGCGGGGAAGCCTGTAGGCGGCGCGCCAGGAACGGGAACAGCTGCGGATCCGGCGCGTTCTTGCGATGTGTCATAATCTTTTTGTCCCAGAGGAGGTATTTACCTGGTCTAGAACAGCAGGTCCGTTCTTCATAGCCATTATAGTTACGACGGTGGCGGCGTAGGCGGCGGGGTGGCCTGCAGCTGGCGCGATATCATAATCTTTTTGCCACAGAGGGGGTATTTACCTAGTCCAGCACAGCAGATACGTTTTTCATAGCTATCATGGTTGCGGCGGCGTCAGAATCTTTTTGCCCTACCAAAACTTTGTGAAGAAGAGGGTGGTTATAATTATAATAGTTACCTGATCGAGCACAGCAGGCCCATATTTCATCGCCAACACCGTAGCAGCGGCGCGATATTCATCAGCGCCGGGCGGCGGCGGCGGCGTGGGCGGCGGGGAAGCCTGCAGCCGGCGCGCTAGGAACGGGAACAGTTGCGGATCCGGCGCGTTCTTGCACGGCGGCGGCGAGTCCGGCGGCGCCGGCGGGATCGGCTGCCGGCCTAGTGTCTGGAAAAATAATAAGTTTATCACTAAAAATTTGCCTTCACTGAAAACCCTAGAAAGTCGAAACTTAACTTCGAAATCCTCCTATGTTCTTCTGTGATTCGTTGCGTGTCTCCCGGGACAAACTTGAACCAACCAGTGAATGGTTGGGTTTTTATTGGAGATCAAGCTGTAGATCCTGGTTATTTTATGGACTTGCAGCGGAACGAGGTGGGAATAGTCCCATTATCCCGAGATGTGACCGTGAACGAGTTGAATGCAGAGCGTCAGAAGAAGGTAAATGTTTCTGACTAGCTTTTGCCGGCTGCCTTGCTTGGCTCACGTTAAAATTTGGACCCCAGTTTCATCCCCAGGGGTTCATTAGGAAAAATCGTGTCTTAACAGATACCTACACGTCATAAAAAAAATATACAAACCTGTAAAAATGTCGCTCGGTGCTGCGGATCCACCGTCCAAAGAGAACCTTTGCCGAGACCTGGCGCAGCAGCGACCTATGAACAGAAACATTTTTGTAATTTAAATTTTATGTTAGAAGCTCAATAAGCACGATGATGTCATTTAATTATCCTCTGGCTGTTGACCAATTTTTCCTTTTTAGATTGGATAAATGAAAATGCAGGTAATAGTCTCCAGAATCCACATTGAAAAATTTAAGAACTTCTGCAGATTTAGTACTCATGTATTATAATAGATCGTTTCATCCACGAGTTTGATCCGAGCAATCCGGGCGTCATTATTGTAGTGTACTCATGGTTAATTAAGCGTGTACCGATAACACTCAAACATTAGCGGAAGAATGGTGGGGCGCGTTTTCGTGGCTGAAACGACCTATATTTAGTTTTAAACAACGAAATCTCACCTTATGGAAGCACTTGTTCAACGAGAGGTTATGCCGCACACTGTTCTTCCATCCTTGCGGCGCGTTCTTGAAGTATGGGAAATGTCGGACGATCCACGCGTATATTTCCTTCACGGGCAAGGCTCTTGCAGGGGCCGCTTCTATGGCCATGAAGATTAGGCAGGAGAAAGAATATGGCGGCTTGGTGTGGGCGGGCGCGGGCGGCGAGGGCGGCGCCTTGCAAGGCGTCCGAGGGGGGGAGGGAAGGCGAGCGACGGGCGGGGGAGTCTTCGATATCTCTGACTGTAAAGGAATAAAGAGGTTATTGGACATGTGAACAGTAGGCCGTGTGAATTTACATCAAACGCGCTCACTAGTGACCGCGTTTAAAAAATGTATGAAAATTTTAGTTTTTGAACGTTTCCCGCTAGGGGCGCTGTACAATCCGTCATACATTTAGTGTCATTAACTCACACTAGGCCCTCAGGTGACTTAAAAGCTATCATATCGTGTTTCCAATGGCTCCAAATCGTTGAGGATCATTGATTGTAGTAACTAATTTACTTTGAAAGTTATTGCCCCAGAATTGATGTATTCGATAATTCTGACTGCAAAAGAATTATGATATGGTTTGATTAGCAGTATTAGAGCTATAAATTATTTTTTAAGATGTATCATTGCGAATCACGCAGCAACTGCTGCGCGTGCAGCTATCGCCTAATCTAGTTAGTACATGCCACTACATAATTTAAAGAATAATTAACTTTTTAAAAAAATAAAACCGACTTCAAATGCGTGAACACAAAAAAAAACTAAAAATTGAAAATATTGGGTATAAAAAGTTCATCCCCAATTTTCCACCCTTGGGGGTGAAATATTTTCTTCAAATTCGCATGAAACCACCCTTTTGATAACACCTATTCAACAAAAAAATAATCGTTCAAATTGATTTATAATCGGCGGAGATATTGCGTATAAAAAAGTTCATCCCCAATTTTCCACCCTTGGGGGTTGGTTTTTCTATTATTAAATTTAAATGGGACCACCCTTGAGGTATTACCTATACGCAGAAAAAAGATTTGTTAAAATCGGTTCATAATTGGCGGAGTTATCGCGTAACAAACATAGAAAAAAATAAAACATACGGGTCGAATTGAGAACCTCCTCCTTTTTTGAAGTCGGTTGAAAACCATTTGCATGTCTGTCGCGTCTGTTCCAAAATTACCTTAAGATTAATCTTACAGAATTTGTAGTACCTACCAATTAGAATAAAATACATAGAGTTGACTGTAGGTACTGCAAAGGAATAAATAAATAGGTCATGGCCATATTGTGTCATGTGATTGACCGTCCTACGTGTTATCAAGTGTCGGCTGAACTAACAGCTTCAGAATAAAGCCTACAGTTAAACTTAAACTTACAAAACGTCCGGGAAAATACAATATTGATCCATTTTAGACGAATTGAATTCATATAGAAGGAATAAGCGTTTACTGGTAGAAGCATCACACGTTTGCAGAAAATCACATGATAACCTATCATATCACACCTTGATAAATATTAGAACGCATAAGGAAGCATACCACGATTTCATTTCTACGTTAACATACATATAAAAAGTCTGGGACGCTTTAAATTGTTGTTTCCTTTTCAAATTATCGTTAGCCAAATGACATTGAGTAAACTGCTTGGCACTTGTATAAATAGGTGCGTCGGATACTCGTATAATGTTTAAGCTTATACGTTTACATTCGATATAAATATATGGGTCAGAACGAAAATGTGATCACATACGTGCACACGTAGTACATACTTTTTAAACCAATGATATATTTTTAAATGTTTTTTGGGTACAAAACAAAGAAGTGTTACAGTGTTACATCCTGTTGGGACAAATTGCAGACATTTTATATTTTTGAGTCAAATGTCAGCGCCTCGAAGTCACTAACAAAGGCTAAAATATGTAAAAATGCAAATGGGTAGTTCTACAAATCAGGGAATTTTACGGGGCTCAACTTGCAGCTCCTTAAATTACCAATTAATAGTTTTCGTTTTAGGGTATTAATAAAGTCTAACTCACATAGTACTTGGTCACTGAATTTCAACACGTTTTAATAAAAACATCCCAGACAAAAATGGCTTCAAATAGGAAAAATTCTCATTTCCCTGTGGGGTGACATTCCAGAATTCATGATGTAAATCACAATAAAAAATATATAAAAATATAATTAGTCAAAAATAACATTGTATTGAAAGTAACCATTAGTGTACCTTTCATTTAACCTATATGGATTATGTTTGAATTCCCTATTTACATAATTTTTTGATTGCTGAACAAAGGCGACACGAATTAAGTATCACTTCCCTGCCACCTATAAACACGTTAAAATCTGTAACAAAACAAAGGGTAAGCCACGTTGTCGTTCTTATGTATTTAAGTATGCAGTTAAGTTCGCCTAGTGAAACGTTTATTTCGCCCAAATCGTCAGTCAGTTAGACGCAGCTACGCTGTTATCATCGTCTGTCGTGTCTGGGCCAGACAACTTCTCACTCATCTGTTACGTATTTATAACAGTATTTTATATTATTTTAGGGCAATTATGAAACAATATTGTCAAACTCGCTTGCGTCCATTGACTGATAATATTAAATTTGATATGAAGTTTATATAATTCATGATTTTGGCAAAATACATCAAAAATCTCACTTCCCTGTGTATCATTTCCCTGGGTTTACGAAGAAAATGGAAAAGTTAATATCGACTAACCAGCAAAACTTACTGCCATATAAAGGCATTTTACAAATACACTAAGTGCAGGCAAATGCATACACTCCATTGAAACTGGATACTCCATTTTGACTTGCTTGACTCTATACAAACTTTTAGCTGTTTTTGCAGTAACGTGTGCGAGCACTTCCAAATAGGCATCGTAAAATATTCTTCCATGAAAGCAAATGTTGATGACGCTTAAACTGAATCTGAAACTGAGACCAGTAATGCCTGCAACACCAGTATTTTGATTCATCAGACTTGGTTGACCTTACGAGTGTACTGGGACTGAATGAACATTGATGATCCTGATGGATTGCTGGAGATGCCGAAAATAGATACTAACGAATTGTTTCCAGTCGAAGAAAAGCGTCGAGGAAAGAAGAGGAAGATAATAGAAGGAGATACGAATAGTAGGGAAAAGTCAAAGAGATCAGGTGACGGAAAAAGAAGCAACCTAAATGAGTTCCATGTTCAATTGATAGTGGACCTTTATGATGCACATAAAAGTATTTTTTATTATTTTTAGAATAAAGACTATAAACTCAAATGCATCTTTCAGTTAAATTTTCACTATCCTGTATATGTTCTCACTTCCCTGTCCATCGAAAATAGAAAAACCGCTATAAAATCAATATTTATCATAATTTTGTCTGGCCCGTTAAAAATTGGATATGTTGTAGTATATTCTCGGTCTTTAGTCACTGTTTATACTGATTACTAACAAAAACTGGAGATTCATTTTATGGTCCTAAATAATTCCACCGTGAGTAGAACTACCCAAATATTCATTGTACATAAGTAAATTGTTGTGAAACCATGGAAAACCGAAAAGTGTAAGATTTTAGATTACTTACCTTTATTACCACTTGGCTGGCAATCATTTTTGAGTCTTCCATATCGCTTTTTGTTAGATTTATACCTGAAAAAGAAACACGATTTATTATAATAAAATATTCAAAAAGTGAGAAAATCAAAGGTGTACATTGCGAGTTCCAAACACAGCACATACTTGCTAACAGAAGGGTGTGACAGTTTTCCTAGGATAAGTGATAAAGTTTGTTACGAAGTAGGAACAGTAATTTTGATCATTATTTATTTTATTCTCAGTTCGCACATAATATTGGTGAAATGAAATAAAAATAATTGTTAAACTGCATTTTTTTGTCTGCATTTTTTTTACATAACTGTGGGCTGGTTTGTTTCTTACTTTTTTATAGTTTTTCTGTCTTGATTGTTTATTTCCGAAATATCAATAAATAAATCGTTAACCTATGGACTTTTAGGCTGGGTTGAACCATCTTACATTAACTTTGTCAAACGTCAAAAATCTGTCAAACTCCATACAAAAAGCACCGGTTATCGTCATAGTTACCGGTAAAGTTGGGTGGTGCAACTCAGCCTTAATGTAGAGTACCAACCTCTGAGTAGATTTCTGTCTTGTAACCAGCTGAGGCTGGTAAGGTCGTCATCGTGGTCGGCTGGTGGCAGATTGCCGGCGTTACCGCCACACGCCACTCTGTTGAGAGAAACAACACAAATTAAAATCATCTCCGTTTGCGTAAACTTCATAGAAGTTACAGAAGGAAGATAAGACTATGTTGTCAGCGACAACCTAAAGTAGCCAAAAAGTTCGCAACATGTATTTATTACAACCGGAATAAGGTTGTGATGTCAACTTTTGTACAGTTTTTAAATTAAATTTTTAGACACTATTAGGTAATAGCACAGGTAATAGTGTCTAAAATTTATTTAATTAGTATAAAAACAAGAGATTGCGACATGTTCGTCCGTATTGTCACCCCTTACCTCTTCCATGTGTTTTGTTAACAGTTCAATTTAGTTAAATCATTAAAAATATCAGATGCAAATGTATTCAAATT